CGGGCAATCCACCAGCACATGGGTGACTGTTTCTTGTGCGCCGCATGCGCACTGGTCGTCGTCACTATAACCAACATTCTTGCGGTAGCTGGATAACCAGTTGTGGCCCGTGCGCAGCTGCGTCAAGAGGTACGCGCGGTTTCTTGGCAGGTTCCCATATAGCCTTCTAGTGTAGGTTGCTGGCAGGGTGTTATCGATCTTTCGTAAGTGACCGCCCTTGGTGGATGATTTCCATTCTTGTTCCCATTGAGAGTAGATGTTCCGACGGATGAACGCCCTCTCTCTGGTGAGGAGCGGGCGGAAAGGATGGGTTTTGCCTGGGCTGGCGGCGTCCTTTGCTAATCGATCTGCAGCATCGTTACCAGGGTTGTCGCAATGCCCCGGCATCCATTGAAGACGGAGTGCGATTCCCGCCGCTAGGACCTCGGCGCCAGCCTGGAGGATCGTGTGAACGATGCGTTGTCCTGATCTGTTTCTCGCGCTTTGAACCGCCTGCAGGGCGGACCGGCTGTCGCACAGGATCGTCGCTGTCAGTTGCCTGTCTGCTGTCCTCAAGCGTTGGTGGGTTCGCTATACAGGATGGATCGGAATCAGTTTCACCATTTCCTCTCAGAGATTCTTTCTCAAGCCCTTTTTCGAAACACGCTATACCCATTACGGTTAATCCTTCAAACCCCTTTCTTGGCAATGTTTTAGTACAGTCGTAAATAACAGCTTAAAAATAGCTTCTGTATTATACTCGTATGGTTTCTGGGGGTTCTAGAACGTTGATCCACTGGACAAGCTAAATAGAGGGTGGGAAGCCATCTTAAAGCTGCGGCGGACCTTCAAAAAGGTGCCCGTTAGACCATGCGTTATTTTTGCCATACTAGCAACAGAACGCGATCTCGCATCTCTATTCGTACACTTGAAAAAGGGGAGCGGGGATAGATTAGGCTGGTCATCGCAATCTGGGTACTAAACTCGGATTAATTTAGTTCCTAGGAGGGCGCTAATCCTACCGGAGGCCACCCAGGATTCTGCCCTTTCTTTCCGTCTTCTCGGACGCATAAAAAGGCCACATTTCTCCCCTCTCTCCCCTCGGGGCTAGAGACTCTGTTCTATCCTCGCATCAGTTCCAAATTGACATAGTGCACAGCACAATAAATTCAAAATGAAGAGACCGGTTCCGATAGAATCTGGCCAGTCAACAGTTGATCGACTATCGGAAATATTGTACCATCGCAATCCGGCAATGTCTTTATTATTTGATTCCGAGCAAAAATGCCTCCATATCACTGGTTTTCCTGATATGGACCACTCGGAATGCGTTGGAATACTTTCTCAAGTACAATCTGACGCTTGGAATTTGTTATTCAAGGAAAAAACAGCCCAAGGTATCATAATCATCAAGCTCGTCCCTGTTCTAAGTGAGCGTGACCTTGATCAAATTGAGCGTGTCTTTGCTCGAAGTGAGCGTGACTCTCGAAGTGAGCGTGATCATGATCAAATTGAGCATGAGTTAGCTCGAAGTGAGCATGACTTTCGAAGTGCGCGTGACAACCAAAGAAGCTTGGATGCCCTCCGAGCTAAAATGCAGCGGATCCGTACCCGCCGATAATCTGCGCATGAAAATCGAATCCAATTATCTAGCGCACCCTACCACAATTTACTCCGAACTAGGGCGACAGCTGTTATCTTACGACGTTCGGTTATGTCCGTCTAACCGTATCTACTCCAAAGTTGGTACCATCTTCCTTGTCGAAATGTTACCAGCGCTCACAGAAATTTCTAGCAGAGAATTCTTCGCGCTGCGCTAGATGCTTTGCATATGCATGCCAAATCTCGCGCTTGCACAGATGCTCTTAGTGAGACGTCTCCCGGGCGTGTCTTAGCTCCCCGTGTTTGACTCGAGCGTGAGGAGACCGGAATGAGAATTGTGGCCTTTGCGGTCGTGACGATGAACGAACGATACTGCATTAGGTGAGGTGGAATATTTCCATTTTGATAAATCTTGCCATTCATATTTGATGAAGCCGACGAGGAGCGCCGTACATGTCAAGCTGAATGTCTTGGCGCGGATTACCCAATGCTATCAGACATTCCGATCGAGACTTTTTGTATTTCGCGTCGTTTGCATACCCCGCCCTCGCCGTTCCCCCTCGGCCCAGTGAGATGGTCGGTAGCTGTGAAATTACACTTTCTTGTCTTTGTAATTAGTACCTAAATCTGGCATTTGCGGATTGAAATTATGTTCCTGCTGACGGACCAGTTCCGACCTGCTGTCAGAATAGTTGCTCAAGGACAAATAGAATGGATGCACCATCTTTAGATGGACGTTGTCAAGAGAAAATCCAATGCGGTAAAAATCTGGCACAAGAACGGGGACTGGGAAACCGCCATCCAATACGTAGTCAGTAATCTGGCAGGTCTCGCATCACAGGTTAGATCACGGATCTCGCTTCGATAGAGAGTGTGTTCGCAGTATGTTGATAGACACTCAGTGGGCGCATCGCGGTGGTGATAATACAAATTGCTTACGAGAGCACCCGAATGTATGGCTAGTGCATCTAACTTACGCAGTAGGATATCATGTGATATTCCTTACAATACATTCGATAATTTGAAATGCGCTAAAGCAAAGTGAGCCTAGCAAGTTTCAAAGGAGGGCTCGAGAAATAATTTCTGCGAGTAAATGGTGAAACTGATTTCGATCCATCCTGTAGACAGTTGAATGTGAATGTAGGACAATGGTCTCATCAGCGATGGTATCTTCGACAAACGGGTTGCGTAGCACATACTTGAAATCCGGGTCCTCTCACCGATATAAGCCCTCGCACCGGTCATTTGTACGGACATCAGTCTCGTTACGACGTATGGTTTCTATCCATCCAAATCGAGGGGCTTGATAAAGATCCTCGGCTGCTAGACTGTTTAATTGCAGGGATCAGTGAGAGCCAAAATTTGAGGTCATAGTCAGCGCCACCAGTACTAGTTGAGTTCCATGTGCAATGTGTGATATTTTCGGTCTCATTGATGCTGCAGATACCGTATAATTCAGAATGCAGTGTGAAGTACGGATTACATGATACCTCAGCGCAGGTTCCCCAACAATCTACCCTTTACGATCGCGACACGCAGATTTAGCAATTTTTGCTGTCCACTGGTTCATGTGTTCTTGATGTATCGCCAAGACTAATTATTTGGAACCCGCTTTCTCATCACCGTAGCATTGATCAGAGAATGTCAATAAGAAGCGCCTGATTACCACGAAGCCAAAAGATTAATTATCTCAGGAAGGCCTAACTGTCTAAAGAGTCTGCTGCAAAAGGCGTTGTGGCACCAGGTGTTTTCGTGAGACTTCATGAATTGCTACCAGCCTTCCGCAGCAATCCTCAAATGATAGGCTACCTGTTGGGTTCCGTTTTGAATCTTCCCATCCAGTACGCCAAATGTGTAATAGTTTCCATAATTGCAAGCTGCTGACAGCTTCTTTGCAGGATCAATGAGATTCTTGCACTCGGTGATGATGTGGTCAGGATGCTGTGTCAAGTGAGTAAAACGGTTTGAAAAATGGATTACTCGGTGATAAAAGCATACGCACATTGTTACAGAGAAAAATGCCTGATTGGTTTAGGTATGCCACCCTCGTGCAAGTGTTTGGACTTGCTATACACAACAAATTCTTGACATCTTCGAGGCGGCGGTCAATATTTTCCTCTCTCGTAATTTTTGTATATGCAACCCCATATGTCCAGTCACAACTAGTAAATGGCTTCGACTATCTCGCAAAGTTAGGCCCCATTCGACTTGGTAGGCAGGACAGGAGGGGTTTACACTGCGCTTCTCTGTAGCCATTTTCGACAAACGATCGGAAGCGGGAAAGGCAGGAAAATCAATGTTCTTTCATGCCTAAGCATGTGGCTTGAGTATATAAAATGGTTACTGACTCACTGCAATGACACCTAAGCCACCTTGGCTATCATTAGACGTCGGACTGCCAAACTATGATACGTCAATACTTGTACATATTCAGGCTTGCTGACTGACCACTTGGAAGATAACGGCACACAGAATAAACGTTCTTTGAAAGGCTTTCATTTTGAGTACATGAACAAGTATGCGGGAAAATTGAGAAATGTAGGTCAACTATAAAGGTTAGAGGGCGGGTAAACAACCCCTTTATAGAAATACCAAAGACGAACCAAGCGGTGGGAGCTCCTTCGATATATGAGCTTCACAAGGTTTTATGAGGTAAGAGAAAAAAACTCTCGGTGCCTCATTTTCATGAAATATACATTGACAAGTGTTTTAATGGCTAGCCAAATAACTAAAGATTATGATAAGTTGGTCCCGAAATTACATCGCAAATATTTTCGTATATCGCACTTGATGCTTCATTATATGAGGCTATCCGTTTTCAAGCCATTGTGAGGGCCGTAGCATAACAGTGCCATATAAATGCATCCTCGTTAGTAGTTACATCTTGAAGTATTCTTAAGGGTCGACAAGACCAGATGATATTGGTCTTGATGAAAATTTCGGTTCTCGATTCTTTTCTTACTAAACATGAATATTTACCTCTTCGTGGTTCTATTAGCCAACACGGCCTACGCACAGCTTCAGAAAAATATTTTCGCTGAAAAGGCCTGTGACCTGTTCCAAGTTTGGAATCAGCCTTCTCCTCTGGAGACCTTTGTTCGTTACAATCTCGACGGAGAAAAAAGATCGGTTTCACTTTCCTCGCAATGTATCGAAGAGTTTGAAAATATTTTCTCCCGTTGTCAGTTCCTCATTACTTGCTATAATGCTCAGGGTTGGAAAACGCTCACTGACCGACAACGAACAGGCGTATACAATTCTAGCCTTATCTGTAGCGATTTTACTATCGTAGCCTCCCGTTCTCCAAAGGTCACAAAGAAATCCCAGAGGGCGAATATTAGCAAAAGGTCCCAACTTATTCAGGGTAAGAGGAGCTGCTCTTGTGCCTCTTCTCGGTCGTCTGTTACAAGTGATCCCGTAGCAGGGGGTCGATCGTCGACATCAACAGGTCCGTCAACCGCTGCAACGGATGCTATTATGTCACCTACATCTCAAGATGCCGGAGCACCAAGTAGCACAACTGAGATGCCTGCCAAATTGTCCTTGGTTTCAACCCCAAGCCTCACTGAGAGTCTAACAATGACTGTAAGCTCGGCTGCATCGCTGGCTTCTACGAGTAAGAGGATCTGTATTATCAAGCTTGCAGACTTGAACTCAAACCCCCCTGGCAAATGTCAATGCTCTGATAATAATCCAATTATGTTTGATGCTACAGCGTGTGAGCCATGCTCGTGATAGCGCCCCGGCTTACGACAGCATCAGTCAGTGATTAAGTGTGAGTAGATAGAAATCGCTCAAACATACTTTCCATACATGTACTTTCATATATGCCTCATCGGAGCTTGCATTCACTTTTATCACCACGTAAACGAGCCAGAATAGCTGTTGCCATAAGTTCTGCCCGAACTTGAACGAGACCCAGTAATCCTCTATGGGCTGCATACAGGCAAGAATTGTACAGTACAACAAAAGTATGGTAGACATTCTTACCAGCCCAATGTTCAAACAATCTCGGATGAATATAACTTTCTATTTCAATCTCAGCAGAGGCTTTGACTAGTACAGGAACATGAGTTAAAGCGTGGCAGCCGCTGATAAAGGTTTGTCCCGGGGACGTAGCTCTGTGTTAAAAAAAAAAAGAAAAAGGGAGAAGAATGCATAAACTCCTTTAGTAGCGAAAAACCACAGCCTTCGGAAAGATAGCATGCAATAGCTAAAGTAGCGACATTCAGATACAGACTATGGACGAAAGCTAGGCTGGGAAAGATGCTGGAAGATTCCCTATTAGACACTCAGAGAAGTCCAAGCCTCTTCAAAATCCAGGCACGTTTGGCACCTTTCATGGTTGCTCCGTTCTTTTTGAGATATGCTTTGGTAACTGGGAGGCCTTTACAATCAGGATGCGCAGCGTGTCTCAGCCACGATAATGGTGTCCCGTACATATCGTCCAGAGCATTGACTTCGGCTCCATTTTCCACCAGAATTCTCGTTGCGTTGTAAGAGCCGTACTCAGCTGCCCAGGAGAGAGGGGTACGTTGGTTTTGATCGCGATCGTCTATTGGCGCGCCAATCTCCAGAAGTCGCAAGAGAAGTTCAGTACAGTCCCCCATAGCAGCGTAATGAATGAGCGACCTCTTGAAAGGGCCCCTTGAGTTGCATATGCCCTTGGATTGGGCCGACTTGTGAGTTGCTTCGAGGAAAGCCATAATATTCTTGTCCAGCGCGTTCATCTGGATCCTTTTAAGGCACTTAAATTCTCCATCTATGATGTTGGTGGTTTGAGGCGGCATAGTCTTCAGATGCTTTGAAAGAGCCAAAGTTCAGGGTCACGAGAAAGAAACGTTTGGAACCCATGACCAAGCTGGGGGTTCATAGATTATATAGTGGGATTGGACATGATGTCCCATATTTCCTTAAAAATATAGTATGGATACCCTTCTTGCCATCATTTTGCTTTGCGTTGGTTATTTATTTCATATTATTGATGTAGGTGATTCTACTTGAAAGTACAGGAGTAAGGTTGAAGGGCATTTCTGCTGCATCAGTACGTGTTTCATGTCCTCTGCAAACTGCGGCTGCCGGCCACAACATACAGTATGCAGCGCACTGTTGGGTTGAAGAGACGAGAAGGCTAACAAAGAGACCGAGACAACTCACTCGAAGCGTGCTGTAGTGGCTCAGAAACGTGAATTGGATCGTTCAATCACACAGTGTTGTGGGACCAAGGCTGGGCTTACTTCCGGAAACAAGACCGCCGACCACGCACGCGGTCTGATACGCCTCTTGAACGAATACATGCGTCCTCGGTGGTCAATAGCGTGGCCCTATCAGAATGGACAAAGATCAAGGTCGAAAATGAGACTTCTTAGCCAGAGCAGCGAACTTGAGTCTCGCCATTGCCTGCCGGCATACGTACAACCGTTCTCGAAATCGGCTTGACCGATACACATTGAATATCGCTTCCCTGGGCCCGCCACCAAGGCTTTAGCGGTGATAAAATGTTGAGCGAGCCGCATTAAAAAATGATGAGCAAGAGGAAAATGCTTCAGTATAGTCCTGTATTCTGCCATTCTTTGACCGTTGATTAGTAAACTTAACCGTCACTGACGGCATAATACAGATGGCATAATACTGGCCCTCACCTTATTGCGGCTTCATCAATGAACGAACTGCGCTAAAGCCTTCGCGGTGAGGCCAGACAAGAGTAACTCAGTGTGTATCGGTCAAGCCAATTTCGAGAACGGTTGTATTTATGCCGGCAGGCAATGGCGAGACTCTACGTTCATTTAGGAAGGGGTACACAACATATGTACATACAAGGGTGTATATAGTTGCGGTAGTCTGCATATCGCTTTTTGAGTTGGATTCTAAACCACAACCCACTAGGCTGGGTACGGATTCGTATTTTAGTCTAGTTAGGAAATCAACTTTTTGCGAGGGGTCAGGGTAAATGACATCAACCAACCAACCAACGGAACGGCTGTACGTATGTACTCTAGAGCTGCCAGATGTGCTCTAGAGCTGGGTGAGCTCTCTCAGCGCGGGAATATTTCGCGACCCGCTTGGCCGCTTCCTGAACGTGTTTCTTCCATCATATTCTCATCCAATCCCCGGCCCCCTTGGCTGAGTAATGCCTACTGACAAACTACACAACTACGGCAGCTCTGTCGATGTTTTGTTCGGATTTTATTCTAGACCAGTCTTGTTTTCTAGTTCAATTAACTCGCCATGGAAAAGATTTCGGCCATTTTTCTGATACTTTCTGCCATTTGATCTATCAGAAATGTGAGGTTGCTTAAACAGCTAATAGAAAAATGAAGGACTAAGAAGAACAACAGAAGGCATTGCCGAGTAGGAAATATTTATGCCCTTAGTTGATTGAGATCCTAATATTAAAGTATCACTTTGGCCTTGAAACATAAGTCACTCGGTTCATAATCCTTGACACATTTCTCATTTCATGAACAGCTGAACAGCTTGTCAAAAATGAGCGAACATCATATAATACGAGATGACACTTCTAGCGTTTACAGTCGACCGGTCGACTCGCCAAAGGATGTCGTAATGCCACGTGCCATCAACACACTGCCCGCTAAACATGACTTGCCTGAAATTAATTCTCTTGATCACCAGATCGCCATGGCTCGTGGCTCAACAATGGCTCTGGAGACTACAAGAGTCCGCTTACAAAGTTCAAAGTCGGAACATAGGCGATCACTTCCCGAGTCTCGCTGCGAAAAGCTTCGCCAGTGGGAGCAGCAAAAATATGAAAATGAATTTTACCAATCATGCTTTAACAATTTTCATGAACTATCCAAGTCGGCGATTGATGCAATCGAAGACTTGACACCACAATCCTACTTTATATCCGAGTGCACTTCCACGAGAAACTTGAAAGTCATACAGGCCATACGCCACTTACGCGAAACATTGGAAAAGTCTAGGGCTCAGGAGGCAAGAGCAGAGCAAAATTGGAAGTCCCAATGGAATGCTTCTCGAGTATGGGACCCAACTTCTCGCTGGATATGATTCCATGATGGCTTGCGAGAGCACTTTTGGTTATAGTATACCCATAGTGAATGATTGAATATATGTACAGTACCAGGTGAACCGATCATCTGGCTTTTTGTAATCTAGTATCATACATTAAAATGTTATCTACATTACACTATAGCATCGGATTTATGCATATTGTACCCTGTCTTAATAAAGGATAGCCATATTTGGGCCCACTGTGTCCCAGGGCTACCACTGCTCTCAGTCTACTCATAACTCAGATTTTGAAACAATTTTGAAGCCATTGCAAATTTCCACAATTGCTTGATAGCCATGGCCCGGAAATAAGCTCGCGAGGTCGAGTGGCAGTATGTTCCATACGTAGAGCATCGCTTGCTATAACATCTGGCCAAATATTTGCGGAGATTTCATCATATAGTGAAGTAGAAATGTATATCACGTCTACTGTACGTATAGAGTTCAGATGACAATATGAGAAGTACTGTACTGTAACCGAATTGGCTATCAGGTGAATGTAAAACAAGTGAACGCTTCTGAAGGAATAATAAGTCGGGGAGGCGCAGAGTGCACGAAGCAAGGCACAGACCGTGCAAGTGAATTACTGTACACTGCGTGACATATTGAGTCAGGTAAACGGCATACCATCTTTTCGATGAGAGAAACCCTCAACTACTTCATATTAGTATGTTCATATCAAGACCTGCATGTCAATGTATGAGAGGCTATATCAAGTTTCGATTGTAGTACGCATTTAATCATACAGCCTCAAATTTTTAAGATGACGGCTCATGCCAAAGGCATCCATACAATGATCAAAGGGCTGATAGGTTTAATTGGTCCTCTGGTAGTTGGTACAAAGATTCAGTCCACCTTCGTTTACTTTATCCTAGCTTAAGGTGTGCGTATAAAGCTGAGGCGTTCAAGTTTGGTAGCGGAGGCCTTTCCCCATTTATATAATAAATTTATCGCGGGTAAACTGGACATGTTTCCCGTTTGTGCGAATGTTATTCCCGGATTGGGGATTCAAAGGTGAAAAGACCGACCGACATGCCACGAAGGTCGACACGAGCTCAACGACGACAATCAAAACGTCCAAGTGCATCAAATCAGATTGATGTCGAGCAAGTAGAGCGAAAACAATTTGATTATCGTGATTCGTGCTTCAAGGGGCCGTTTCTTGTTCACCTCTGCGACTTGGACTTCGGACAAAGCGAAAATCGACTAATTGAAGACGGAAACAATGTTACACGACTCACCCAGATCCTAAATATCCAGGGCTGCTTACGATTGAGCAGGGAGTTTCATGTTCCAGTGGTAATAGATGCTGCAGACTGGCTTACCAAGGTCAATTCACGAGAGCCAACATTAGTGCGTGGCCTGCGTATGGACCAACTCGAGATTAGATCGGACTATACTCTACCAGCGCTAGACCATGAGAACGTTATTATTGCAGCTCGCAAAATGTTCAAAGAGCTCCAAATCGAGGATCCTTGGTGGGTAGCAGATGTCTACGTCACAGGAGCGAGTAAGTCAGCGACAGGCGTTCTAGAGTACCTGATCCAACAAGCTGATCCCTACCCGGTATTTATCCAGATAATGACCTGGCTCTTCGTGGCGAATTGGTGCGAAGCCTGCAAGAGAGCTTCCCGAATGACCAGCGCCCTTCGGACGGACGAATATACCGAAATATTCGCTATTATCAAGGTAGCTTCACAGATCTCCGCAATGAGACTGCAGAAAGTTATTGGTGGGCTCTCTTAGAGTCCGAGCCTGGAAGTCGAAAGGGAGATTATCTGCGCACTCTCCCAGAGAGCTTGCAAATGGCCTTTGATGCTCTCCTTCCCATAACTGGTATATGGGCCGGTATGAGCATTGGCGTTTTGCATAAATTGAAAGCTATGAAATGCGATGAGGTAAGTCTTCTCTTCGTCCAGCGAGCAGGCGGAGATTGACAGTACAGCTTCAGCCAATTATTTGTTATTTAGAACATATTCGACGGACTTTCCTGCGGCTCGTAGATGGCGACGAAGATCTTTTGAGCCGTATTGACGCCACTTCCGTGAAACATCTAAAATCCAGAGCGCCAAGGATCTCTTCGCAAGACTTATGTGACCTGGAAAGTAAAAAAGAACAGAAGATACTGTTTCCTTTTATGGAAGACTATCAGCGAAATATGATATGGGGAATCTTGAAAGACATTGACTTCCCCATTCCAACACTGGAGACATTTTTTCAGGATATTCTGTATCTGGATGTCGGGCAATGCGTCATGCGACAACTGTGTTTTGCACCGCCCAATGGGAACAGTACCATTGACGAGGTCCTGAGAAGTCAATGCAGTGGGTTCACTTCCGGTTTGTTATCTAGATCTTACTGGGAGCAAACAGTACAAAACGAGCAGCTCCAGGATCTTTGGCGGTTCAGTTTTCAGTATGCGTATGAATTAACCCCTAAGAGGGACCACCACCGTCGTGTTCCACGAAAGAATAGGGACAAGAAACGTGCCTTCTTTATAAGTGCCAACGAAGAATTGAATGGCATTCCGTCGTTGCTACTTCTACGCCATTTCCTTGTGCTGGCTCGAGGTTACGATTTTGAAGTTCCCATAAGCGAAGGGGATCCATTAAGCGAAGCTAGTGATCTTCCCCGCCCACATCCATGCGACTTTCCCCCAAACGGCTACGACGATGTAGAGACCGAGCGACGGTCCGGGAGACCATTCACAGACTCTGTGCATGCTGACAGATTTGCCCTTTCTAGAGAAGCTTTGGGACAAAATTGGGATTTCGGGCGGGTCAGCGCAGGCTTTGTGCGTCGGTCGGTATTTCGAGCATTCTTTTCATACCTTAACGCTGGCATCGCCGAAAGCCCGCATTAAATGCTACCCCAAAATCTTCAGAAGAAACAGACAGCTGTTTCGAGGCTCACGACATCATGTCTTCCCCAACGGTTTGGTAGAACACCGCTCCAGCTTTCGCGGAAAACGTTTCCTCGTCATTCCTCAGATGATCCCTAGCAATTTGACCATGTCCTTTTAGCGTCGACTTCGGATCTAATTGCTTCAGGCATCTAGCAGAACGTCTTTCCCCCAAGCTCAAGCATGGTTCAATGTCTGCCGCAGAGAAGATCCTGAAACCACGTCAGGATGTTGAACCAGTCTTGCGGTGTCTTCGACTAGTGCAGGATTACTGTGCTCGGATTGAAGCTCCAAGCTGCTTTCTCTGGGCCACGCCGCTAAAAATAAAGCCAAAATAGAAGACTCAGCGCAATGACGCCAGGGTAGTTCATTCCCGATATATAGTAGAATTGGGGTTGTGGAAGGAGCGAAGAAAACTGGGAAGTGGTGTAGTGTGCATTTTGTATGAGAGATAAAGAGGGATTTACCCAGACATAGAGGCGCCAATTGAGCAAAGTTAGAAGTTCATACGAATAAATGACTATTCATTTGGAAAAGATCCCAAGGAATTGTCACGTGCGGATTGTAGTATAGTTGGTCCATCAGAGCTTCGCGTTCAGTGCAACAACAACAACACTATGGTCCATATCTCCCTTTTCTTTTCTTTTTTTTATGCGACTCAATAGTACTTTCTCGGCGGTTAGAACTTACACTCCAGCGCGTCAGAGGCAGAAAAATTGGCTCCCGCTTTGCACGTCCACAAGCAACCACCTATATGCTCTAAACCTAGAATTAAACCCCCATATCAGCCACTCTCGCAAGACATCCTAATTGTTGGGAATCGACATTTTAATTGTTCAGAAATTACGCTATGTTTTACTTAGCTTTTACCCTCGCAGATGGAGAAGGTAACTAGATTATTGATGGCATTCAGTCGCCATTTGGAATGATCAAAGTAGAAAGTACAATGATGTATTTACACAGTAGTAGTAGCTTGCACATCGCTTCGACGAGGGGTCGGGTTAAATGAATTCATCCATCCATCTTTTCTATCGGCCCACGCTGAACCCAATGGCCCACAAATACGGTCAAACCGTGTGCATTTCATATCAAACGGTAGATCCTAGCCATTCGGGCCTAAGAATAACGTGTCTGACACTCCTCCAGAATTTCAACTATATCCTTCCAAAAATGATGAGATGCCTGGCGATAGAATGCTACCAGAAGATCTTCGTTCACGAATAGGCAGCTCAGCCTTTGCTGTTCTTGATACAGCCGGATGTTCGTAGTAACAAGTTCATGATGCCTAGCCTTCAACTTATGGCAATGGATGCTTTGCGAAATGAATGTATGTCTAAGATGCTGACAAAGCTCCTCAAATTGATCAGCTTCTGACGAGCCCTGTGCATCCCGGAGGAATTTGGCTGCATTATTTGTCATTGTGGCTTGCACATCTTTGCTTAAAATCTGTTGTAGATAGCGAAAACAAAATCCTCAGATGTCGTATTCAAGAACCATAAGGCTAGGAAAATATATCAGCTTCTCTTTATGGCTTCTGCTCTACACTCAGCCCCCATATGTCTCAATATTGAGTATTTTCCCTGTCCATTTGTAATCTTAGCACAATATGATGGTGTAATTATTCTCACCGGGCCCAGCACCGCAGGTTTGTGCCCCGGAAGCTCACGATCCTGGCGCATTATATTCCAAGAGAGTTATTAGTTGAGCGCCTTGATATCCGTGCGGTGAGCGCACCTCACTTAGTACAGTCTTCATCTGGCGCATGGCACAAAACTCAAGGGTTCGTGCCCGCTCGATTGCAAGCACAAAGCCGAATTCATGGCTTCATCCCCTGTTAAACGCAACGTGCTAGACCACACTAAAGACAATTTCCTCCGGCGCCCATCTACGTCAGATCGACCACACACTGCCGACCAAGCACACACGACGGCTCTACGGATCTCTGCCTAGAAATCGAGCGTACTTACTAACGCAGCTGCGAGCCGGACAATTACACCGGTGGACCTGGCGAGTCCGCTAATATTTGACTGACAGCTTAATGTATTTCTACGCACGCGCGTTCCTAGCTAGTGCCTTTGCTACAGCCATTTTCGAAAACAGTTTACCCTCCAGACACTCACACTTTGTTTGTCGGGCCGTATCCGAAACAAGCTGAATCCTTTTTGGGACAAGTGATAAGGTATTGACAACTTATAAGTTACTTTACAGTAAATTACGAGCTACCTGGCTTGCCGCTGTCTCGCATACGGGCCGAGAAACGAAGTGTGGGTGTCAGAGGGGTAAACGGTTGTCGAAATCGCTGTATATTAGTAGTATGGACACATTATCGCTCCTTTCCCGCCGCCATTAATCGCCTATTTATTCCGCTGACCTAGACATCAAATTAGTACCTCAATCATTTTGCTGATCCCCTATAGTATACGCTCAAGTTGTCCCAGAAGTTGAGACGTCGATACAGGATAGATGGATGGATGATTTCATTTAACCCGACCCCTCGCCGAAGTTGGGACCTTGAATTGAGTACAAGTGTGATGATCATATTCAGTCTATGGGAGGAGATACAGCTACTTATAGTCGCGGCAACTCATCTCCCTTCTGCCTAGCAGAGTGGCAGCCTAACAGGCAGCCAATCCTACAGACCCTATACATCACGTAACCTGGGATCCAACTTTGCGAGGGCTCATGGTAAATGAAATATACTACTACTACTACTGCAGTATCAGAAAATGCGATGAAACCTCAAGAGAAGTGCCGCCAATGATCGGTCCCTCAAGAATTGACTTATACATGCCGGTTAAACAAGAAATACTGCAGGGAAGGTCGGACCTAACCGTGAGCACAACATTCTTTTTTCGTCTCAACCGCTTGCAACATGACCTTCATATATTCCATGGAGCCGGGTGAAAAGCGAGGTACAATTCTAAAGTCTCTAACCTTGGACCTAATTCGGCAAGGAAATTACTTTGCTTCCGCGATTGGGATTACTGGATGCCCACAATTATTTGGTGAACAAGTTTGTGAGGATCTCGTCAGCACGACTCATTTTCTTGTCGGACAAGACTGAGCTTTGATTCGATAATCAGATCTGATCCCATTTCCAAACGACTATATAAGGTGCTAAGTAAATTTTCATTCCCCATTTTGAGTTCTTTTCCTCCAAGCCTTTCCTGGGAAGCAGATCTGAGGGAAGCGACCTCTGCAGCTGAGAGACAACCTGGTATCCAGGTCATGGGTCTGGTTCTACCAAAAAAAGACCATTCAGCATCAATGCTTTTGCCCTCTGTTGCGCCAACTGAAGTATCTCTGACGTCCTGTGGTTTGCCTACTTCACTTGAACCGCTCAAAGAGACAAATAGTAACGAACCTGAGATCCCACTCGAAGCTAGCAACTTATCAAAGCAAAATAACCTCAAAACGAAATCTCCCGGGTGCAAGACTGAGCGGCCCGCTCGCTCTAGAAGAGAAAATGGATCAGCACTACACCGCACCATTGGGAGGAGCGCGGAAAAATTATGCAAGCTAAGCAGAGTGCGAAAGTCCCCATTTGGTCAATACAGCTCCAAAGCCAGCCACTCTGTTCTATCAGCCTCGTTCAAACACAAGGCCTTGTCAAAGGCGATGAAACTGGGTCCAATTACTTACCGAGGCGCCCTAAAGAGGACTGGGGAGCTTTGTAAAGCTGAGTTGCCCCTCCTCAGAAATCACCTCAAAGCTCGCAGTGATCTATTCAGCGACGGAGAAGCCTTGCTACATGTGATAGCGACTACACACCCCAAATACGATCGTATGATTCGTGCCCTTCCGACGGCAGTTAATCTTGTTCCTGGAGAACTTAAAGAAAAACTGATGAACGAGAAAACCTTGGATTTATTGAAGATAGGAGTCTTTGTGGCAAATAAATGGATTTCAAGATCAGCTTGAAAAATACGAAAAGGGATGGGGCCCAGTCCTATTGCTATTGGCTGTCATAAATGAATATATTTTCTTTTATTTCTCCCAAAAGGGTCAAGGAGCAAAAAGTTTGATCTTGTTTTGCAAACTGCCTTGTTAGCGTAGAGCAAAAAGAGTTCCTAAAAGCCATCACCACTGAGAGGTTCAGTCATCGAAAACATAAGTATTGTCAGGTAAGTTAAGTGAGAAATATAAAATGACAAGTAAAAATCGTAAAAAAAAAACGCATCAATATCCAGTACAGCCAGCTCGTAATATTATGCTCAAGTCTATTTCCTCCGATCACTTGAAAGTCACTACTATAACTCAAGTGAAGGCTCTGCAGACTATTGATGTATTTGTGAATTACAAACAGCAAGATGCTACGGTAAGATCGGGCGTTCCCATTCCCATTATAGAGCCCCGCAAACCTCGGTCAGGTGCAAATAGGCAAGTGCAGATGGATACTCAATTAATCTAACATTGGACCTAATGAAGGTGTATTCAATTGTTGGCATATTTATTTTATACACCGACGCACCAGGAAAGGGATACACGCTAAATGGGAGACAGAATGGAAAGAGTCCAACACCGCGACGACCTGCGTCAGATCAACAACACACTGCCCGCGAAATACACGAGCCGGCTCTATAGATCTCTGCCAATGAATTGAGCTTACGCTCTAAAGCAATTGCAAACCGGATACTGCTGGATACAACATACGCGAAGGCCTTTCGATTCTGTGAGGACGGCCTATGGGTCTGTGGTGAGCAGAAAAATGTAACCCACGTTCTATTGGATTGATCGGAGCCGAGAGAACTACTACACGTCTTACGAATGAGACGCGTTTAGTAGAATATCCACCCAGTTGGGAGGACGGGGAGAAAGGCGAACAGCTAAGACAGACAGTGCGTCGCAGACCAAGATAGCGGAAGCTGTCTCGGATTTGGCCGAAGCATTACAGCTGTTTCAAAGCCGTGGGCCATGACGGCAGCACCAACACAACGGCTGGTTCATGGCAGACCTTGGCGAGGCTCAGAAACTTCGGAGTTTCAATGGAAATTGCATCTGCGGTAGAGTGTATCAGGACATGAAAGGATAAAGGGCCGCCCTATACTCTAGCTTATCATTGAGAGGCCATACCGCGTGTGTGAGTTATACATAATTGCACAATTTTCACTGTTATAGACCCTTTTAAATAGGTGAAGTTTGCTAGTGCCAGAGTGTTGTATGGTAGTTTCTAATCTATTTTTTGCATGGTATTACCTAAACAGGTTAGATGAAATCAGAGTGCGTTCAAAGCGTCCTACTTTCAAGGTCGGACCTCATTGCATATAGAGTGTTCGAGGATGCGTAAAGATCAGTCTCGTCAGCAATGGTAGCTTCCTGGAACCCGCGTACAAATTGGTTGTACAATAGGAAACTGAAAATCTTTTTCAAGACTTCATGATGTCCCCTTCTCAGTTCGATGATGAAAGGGTATATGAACGGAAGTGAAGGGTCGGTATGTAGCTGAGCCCGATATTGACGATAATTCTCGTGCGCATCGGTGAAACCAGTCAAGTTGCTCTCCACCTGAAGTTGTGCTTGCGCCATTCCATTCAAAACGGCACACAGACAGAAATGATTCCTCAACTTGCAAAGTTCCTGGCTTCGGTGAGCTTCTGCTAGCTGAAGAAAGAAAATGATAACCGTAAACCCTTACCCTAGCAATATTTCGGAGCTTCCCGTCCAGACCTCCCGCGGTTGCAATCTCCTCCGTGTCATGACTTAACTGATCCCACTTTTCGGCCAAGTGGCGTAGATGGTCGCCATCGAGCAATATTTCATTGATGTTAAGGTTATCAAACACTCTCAGCACATCTTGAGTCATCTTCCAAGCCATGGTGGCGGCTGTTTGTTCGCTCACTGCCGTGAAGAAATCGGTTCTGACATCAAAGGCGCGGCCTCTTGCTATATCGGGGCCAATCTTATATCGTGTGTAGCGGGCTTCAAGAACTTTGAGTCGTCGAATAATATATCTATCCGGTTGATCAAGCAAAACCTTAAGAGGACCAGCAATAACGCCAGCTTCCATAGGCAAGTTGTGATAAGGGCGTTTGTTTTCAAATTCTATGAGCGCGTGTGAGAGTGTGGAATATAGAAAACGGTCAATTTGTTTGACGATCTGCAGCAAATCAGGGATGAGCAATAAAGTCTTGCGGTTATAGGGTGACGCCAGATACCTTTGTCACTTCCCGGAATGTCTCGACAACGCAAGGTGATTGTTGCAGTAAAGAGAAAAGGGAGAGTCCCATTTCCTTGTGGTAGGATTCGAATAAACCGATAGCCACGGATGGCATCCCCATGACATAGTTAATCCAGTCTTCAAGCTTAAGTTCCTTGAAAATAATCCAACTGTCGTGAAGAAGTTGCATCGCGATTGTCATTGGCGCCGGATTTGTTGAAAACATATGACCAGAAGCAAGGATTTTCGTTTTTGTAAACAAAATGTCGGGATACTCTCTCTCCTTTTGCTCTTTCTCAAGCCGGATTTCTTGGTCAAGGCCACAAACATCGTCCCCGGATGGCCAAGGGAAGTGGAATGTGGGATATCTCGGAACTGGTGATATATAGTCGTGCTGTGACATGTTGCCCTCAATAGCTGAACAAAGGGCGTCGAAGTTATTGCAAAGGTAGTCACGGGTGAAAAATTGGCTTTTCTTGGGGGGGGGGGTGTTTGGGGGGGATAGTGGCTGGTAATGATCTTGATATATATACCAGCCGTGAGACAGGTGCTGCTGTCTTCCTAGCTTTCGTGTGAAACGAAGGATGTAGCTGCTTGCCGATTCTTTTAGCAATTGATCAAATCCACTATTTCTACTTTTCTCTCTTGCAAATTATGGATTAATCACGCTGGATCCTTTGGCGAACTGGAAGTGGATGAACTACGTCAACTAACAGTTAGCATGAATATTTTCTTTTGAAAAAGCTAGCCACCTCTAGCGGATCGATGCCATCCATCATTACGAACTAGCAAAATGAGAAACAAACTGAAAGGCTTTGAAGGAAAGAAGATAATTGCCATCTGACAAGCTTGTCCACCATGTTTGTTCTTAGAATGATGCAGGAATCATCAATAGCACCTCGAAGTGATATAGAAGCAACAGAGCAGGTAGATACCCATAGAAATTTCAACTCATACTCACCACAATCTTTCATATAAATTTGAATCTCCAAGAGTCGCGCAAAAGACCATGTGCTCTGTCCATGTCCGAGTCTAACCCCGTTGACATATTCTGGAGTGTCTCACTCTAAAGATGGTCGAATACAAGGAATTAACATTGGTAGATGAGATTGGCTTAGCTGATAGTTCCGACTAAAGGAAGCATGAAATCATCATAAAACAGTAGTATTGAGCCGGGCATGTCGTTGCTTACGAAGTTTGGTGCCCCGCACCCTGGTCTCAAGATGAGGTTATTGTTTGTTGCTAAGCTGAGGGCCGAGCTGAAGAATCCTCGCTATCATATATATGAGCGCGCGTAAGTTCTTTTCCTTTTTCTGTTGTGGTGTCGCTAATTAGTCTTAGTCGTCGTGTTGGGCACGGAAGCCGTTCCCTGGTGAAGTTTCGCCGACGGCGTCTGGTCAGAAGGCTGTTATCAAGACTGAGAGGGAGTGAGAATGTAGTTCTGAGTTGGAAGCCCCGGTTGATGGGTATATTGCCTGTTTTGTAGCTGTTTCCGTCTTCATACTTCATTTGGACATTATTAGTGGCGCATGCCTCGCACATACCCTTGTTTAAGAATACGTAGTATCATCGAAAGGAAGGCCCAAACTGAGCCTATCTTATTTCGCACCGAGGCGGCTGTAACTATGTGTGGGCGATTTCCAGTGTGGCTATCTTGTATTGCTTAGAACAAATGGAGATCGTTTACACGATATTCCGTAACGTTGTCTTCTCCTCTCCTGCTTTTCTCCCTCCTATCTCTTGAAAGTCAATGGCGCGGTGTGGATAACAAGGATCATCTTGACGGCATGGCTGGATAAGCCATTGTACCGTGTTTTTGACCCTCATATCAACAAATTAACGCGATTGGCGGAACGGTCGTCTCTCATTTCGCGGCAAACAGCTCGCAAAATATGGCGAGTTGCATTCGTCGGTACCGTTCTTCGGGTTCATTCAACAGCTCATGAGACGTTTCCAGCCCTGCGATGCGAAAGCTGATGTGGGGGGACAGGTACCGAAGATGGTCTGTCAGGTGCTGTTACTTCTTGGCTCGCGTCCAAAAACAAAGCGCATTGGCCTCGTCGAACAGATTATTTGCCCAGATCCGCGATTTATACTCTGGAAACACGGGGAACTGTGTGATAAATGGACGATTAGCGTCGATAAAGGAGGGCTGGCCATAAAATGATCAAGAGCTACTGTGATGTGGCCAAGTGGATCTCGCGGAATATACACTTCGCTCCCCAACCAACCATAATAAGCGATTCAAGCAAGTTGGTTGTGCTAAGCACAACCGCACTTTTGAGTTTGGATTTTCACCGAAGTCACGTACAGACCTGGGATAGATCGGAGCCTGAGGCCCGTTATTTGATTCGCAGGAGTAACACACTTTTTAACGACGCGATCCCGATTTCAATCGCGCCTCCAGACATCAGATCGGCCGTGATTGATCCTCCATCCTTTTTCCCCTATTACGCCGGTACTTTCCGATTTCTCCAATCCCCATGTTGGTTTGAGTGCCGATTTACCAAGCCAAGCCGCTTCTGACGGTATATTGCTCTCCCATAGACAGTATCAATTAATGGACTAACACTGCGAGAGGCCAAATGCACCTGGCGGCTCCAAACTCTGTATACTCGGGCCATCCGTCTATTTACCATGAACCGCATACCTCCCCCCGAAGGGCGGGATGCGCTCCCGATCCCGCACGCAACCGACGAACCCTCATGGCGTCCTCCACACCCTCCGCCCTTTGACAGCCACCCGCCCGACTACCTCCGCCCTCTATCGACTCGAATATACCCCGATTTACCCCACCATGAGCTACCAGAATTGACACAGGAGGGCCTGTATGGTCGTTTCAATGGCCTGCTCCCCCAGGCGCCCGTGCATTTCCCCCAATATCCAAATTTCCCTCACCCCAACTTTCGCCCGCCCATGAATGTCGCGCCGCGTGAAGCCTCCCCAGACGATCGTACTCGCATGGGCTATTTGCCCACAAATCAGATCAATAGCGCTGAGTATACGCTTTTCTCGGGCCCTCTGCCTCCAGCTTCACAGTCCACGGCACCCCTTCACCAAATGGCTGCTGCCACGCCGCCAGGCCGGTACGATCCGGCATTTTACCAGTATCAAATATATGGATCGCGCCAGCTCAAGACTGTTAGAGCCCAGCAGGTTAGTACATAGCTCATATGAAACCAACATACTTCGGATGAGTATTGGCTGACATCCGAGCAATAGGCTTGTCATCAATGTCGAGCTAAGAAAGCAAAGTGTGATGAGGGACAACCGAATTGCAGCCAGTGCAAGAAGAACGGCCTTACCTGTGTTTACAAATCGCCGTCACCTCAAAAGCCAGATAAGGCTACCCAGCTAGTATTGGATCGCTTCTTGCAGACGAAAGACCGTCTGGATATTCAAATATCGGAACTGTATGCGATCCAGCAGAATCATAAGTTAGTGCTGCAAAACTTGTTTCAGGGCAATAAATCAGCGCGGCCCATTCAAGCCATTGAGGAACATTCTCTCGTCCCAACACCCGCCTTCGATCATGACCCGCCTCTAAAAGAGGTATCACAGACCCATACCGCAGGGACTAGTATCCTGGATCCCGTGGGCCAGGATGTGGAGACTTTTGAATATGGTCAACAGCTGGGACCCGCGGAGCCGATGTACGATGACTCGACGACCGAGGCCGAGGGAGAGTATTCCATTCCCGTGGATCACAATATAGCCGCTCACAAGCTATTGATGTGGCCCGCGATCAAGAAACTGCTATCCCCGAAGGGGTATGACGAGGATTATGTGATGCGATTGGAAGAAGAGCGTGGTCTTATCAGTATATATGGTCAAGGTGAGATCTCGTACACTGCTGATGGCAGCCAATTACCAAGGTATGGCGGCTTCGACGGTGTCCGACCCGATGGAGATGGCGCGGGGCCAGATTCCGACGTCGAGGTAGACAAGTTTGGTAAGCTGAAGCTGGACGCTGCAACTGCTCAGCGTTACTATGAAAGCTATCTCGCCAACATGTTCAATCTCCACCCGCTCCTTGAGCAGGACGAACTCAATATGAAGGTCGATACGTTCATTAGATGCTATTGCCGCCCCAGTTCCTCTACGAGCTCCGCCACAGATGACATGCGATCAGCTCATGATGGCCTGCCGCCAGCGAAACAGAAACGTTCCAAGGAGAAATTGGGTGCGCCAGGCGAGTCCGTGGAGACTGTCTCTAACCCGCCGCGGCCACGCGTCGGAAAAAATATAGGAAATGCCATGATCATGCTGTGTCTTGCCCTTGGTGCGATTTGCGAAGTTCCTGCTCCTCTTCCTGGGCCTATCATGGGTCACAGAATTGATTATCGCAGCCAGCCCATACCTGGTTCCTTGTCGCCACTCCCCCCGAACGGGGTGTATACCGCCAATCATGTGCTCTCGCTCGCAAATCCCGCCGCAGTTATCCAAATGTCGCATTCGCATTCTCCGTATGTGCCGCCAATGCAACCTACTAGCCAGCCTTTTCCAGCCACGTTAGGTGAAACTCAAGGAAATCTATCAAGACGATGTGTGTCAACCACGCGTGATGAACAAGGGAATACGAGGAATCATCAGGTCATTCCTGGTCTGGCTCTTTATGGTTACGCTACCGCGATATTAGGCCTTCTGCAAGGTGGTAACGATTTAGAACATGTTCAGACGGGGTTGCTCGCTGGACTTTACGCTGGCCAATTAGTCCATCCTTTACAGAGCCACAGTTGGATCTCCCAGGCCTCAAGGGCTTGTTAGGTACTTGTGGGATCAAAGCGGTATGAGAGACTCGAGGAGGGACCAGTGAAGGACCTTTATAAGTTCGCCTACTGGACCTGCTTGCAGCTGGAGAGTGACCTGCTCACGGAGCTTGATGTTCCAGCGAGTGGCATCTCGCGTTATGAGGGTCGGATGGGTCTTCCGAAAGGAAAATTCACAATCACTCATCTCCCAGACGATCCCAGCGCACCCGCACCTAAGATGATACTGTACTACTTGGCTCAACTTCACCTGCACAAACTCCTTAATCGTGTCCACACCTTTCTTTACAAGGTAGAAAATCAAGGACAAACACGATGGTCATCAACTGTCCAAGATGCCCTGAGCATGAACCTTGAGCTCTGGCGCACAAGCTTGCCTGACAGCATGAAGTGGAAAGATTCCGATGAGCCAGCAGACGAAATCAATGCTGCTCGCATGCGCGCCAAGTATTATGGTGCCCAGTACATCATCCATCGACCTCTTCTCTACCACGCCCTACACCACGGTCATACCGGGGCCCGCGTCGGCCCATTTGGCCACACCTCAATGGAATCATCTACCTCGACGCAAGAAATGTCCTCAATGATGCACCAAAGCAACAACATCGCTGCAAACATGATGCCCATGTCTAGCGGCACATATTCCACGTCAGCCGCGTCAGTCGCCCATGGCTGGACTTCTCCCAAGGTCCAATTATGCGAGCTTCCAAAGAAGCTTCGCATGGCCTGCAAGATCTGCATTGACTCTGCCATCCAGAGTACGGAGGCTTTTGATGGTGTAGGCGGACATCGGTTGGTGGTTACCAACATCTTCGGTACAGCACATGCGTAAGGAACCAGATCAATGAGTAAAATCGCAGAATTGGAAGACAATACTAATATCCTTTTCCTTGTACAGGCAGTTCGGCAACATGCTCGTTCTGTCGGCCACCTACATGTCCAGCCTGCACGAGCTCGTCGACGCAGAGCTCCTTGAGCGCCTTCTCAGACGCACAGTCGGCTTCCTCACGCAAAGCGAAAACATCTCTCCCACCCTTCGCGCCGATGCCCGCATCCTCACTGAGGTCTACCAGAATATCTTCCATCACGCTCTTGAGATGAGCCCCCAACCGACAAAAAGGAAGTGGCATTAATAATTTTTGCACAAAGCCTGCACTATATAAAGGAATAACGAGCTAAAGTATCGAATCTTACCGCTCAAGCCATTTATACCAGTGAGTTAAACTGACATATTGCTGTGATATTTGAGCTAATGTATCAGGTCATGGAAATGCATAGTGGTACAGTGACTCGTACCTCTGTCTCCCTCCTATTTTCCAATGATCTTGTACATCGATACCAAGTCTGTGGCAATGCATTGTATAAAATCCGCGATTCTTAATATTATGTTGTTCAATATATTTTGATATGTACAGTATATAAGCAAATACACGCCTGTTCACTCCAAACCCAGGCCGGGAAAATTGTTCATTTTGTCGAATGTACCATTTCACTCTCCCCGCCAATACTTAATGGCCTTGGCCTGCTTATCCCTATTCATTCTTCAAAACCAGCACATTCATACATTTGCTCCCACCCCCTAGGGCGATAAGTTTAAGTTGCTATCAAGGTTGGTAGTTCACCAATCTGGGACGTTTTTGACCAAACGGCAATCTGCCCACCCAAGTCTGTTCAATAAATGACCTTCAACAATTCCACTGCAGAAGGGCACCTCACCTTTCACCCGGTATCAAGGGAAAGACGCGAAGTATTCCGCGTATTTAGCTTCCCAGTTGTCGGCAGGCCTGATAGCGAACCCGCATAACAGCAAACATCTAGAGCGAGCTACATCGAGCAAATGAATTCATCATCATCATTGTGAGAAGAAGAAGAAGACTGCTCTATACTGTATGAATATGACGATCCCCTTCACCTAATTAATGCACTACCACCTGTTAATATATTAAAGGCGAAACGATGTTGAGGCAACTAGTTTGCCTAGATGCAACGATAGATCCATATTCCACGGTCTGTTTTTCTTTTCCTCTCCTTTCCTTTTCTTTTTTCTTTGTTTTTGGTTTTGGTTGGGTTTCAAGAATGAATGAAATCGCTCAATGAAAAAAGGCCCTGCATTTTTATAGTGGACTTTGCATTCTCGGGCCCCTATGTAGTAAATCATAGAGGACTCCAGTCCCGCAGAAAATGGTGGAAAATTAAAAAATTGTTCCTCAAAGAATAAAGGATATTTCCGCTCTTTTAATGCGTATTTCGGCTGTTGACTATGCCTTCCTTGTTGACAATTTCTAGTTTCACAGCTAGATGGCGTGTTCTCCGTATTCTGATTCGAAGACAAACCAAATCGGTTTTCTTTCCCTTTCCTTTTTACTTTGCCGTTGATTGTTAATATTTCAGCGGCCCCAAGTGTCTCTTAATATGTTTACTACTATCTCGCAATGTCTTCGGTAATGTTTGTCCACGTAACCATTAGCGCATATCACATAATTTGCTAACATCGTCTAAGCGGTCACATATTGAATTCTAGTCTTACTACATGCCTCGAGACATTGTTACCAACTGGACCATGGACACTGGAAGCACAGAAAATGGGCCAAATTGGAAATTTGACGTCTAACTTCAATATTCCAACGACCACGCTTGACCTTTCCGCTGAAATTTCTTACCCTGGCCCGACGGTTATTCAGAAAGTCTCAACACCTTTGAAAGAAGCATTCGATCCGACGTACACATCAATAGCTGCTCCTTTCACTTACTCCGGCACCGAATATAGTGTAATACTGACTATGAGTTCTGCCAATGATCCATCGACAACGTTTCCATCGATCATCTCTACCGAAGCCCTCCGAGAGGATGGAGCGGTAGACGGGAGGAAAATTAAATTACAACTGCCTACCCCACAATCCGCCAAAATCAGTCTGCCTTTATCAGAAGGGCTCATGAGATACCCGTCGATACTACCGTCAATGAGCAGAGAAGTAGCCGAATTGACCGATATGTCTCCTGTCTCCAATGAGTACACTTTGACAACTTCAAGAGCTTCAAACGCTTTACCACCAGAAAAAATGCAATTGAGAACAGGTACGGTCATCGTTTCAACGCAGTCAATACTGGATAAGCCTACAACTTTGACCCATAATTACCTGCTAGATAGCTCACCTACGTGGGCTGTTTCGGATGAGATTTCGCGCCTTCCAAAAGCACCTGAAAGCTCTCTACGCCAGGCAAGCACAGGTATACCTGGTATGATTCCTATTTATCATACAGAAAAGACTTACAGTACATCACGGACTTCGGGTTTCGTAGAATACATACAGCAGGAAGGTAAAACATCGGTTTTATACGACTCGTCTAGGACGTTTGCCGCATATACCTCAAGCTCAAGGAGTCATGAAGAAATTTCAAATTTAGCATCTACACAGGCCTCCACAACGGGGATATCTACTACATCGTCCAAATCTGATGCAAAGCCCTCGAACGAAGATGACTTGACAATGTCCCGAAGTAAGGGGTCCCATTTTATTGAGAAAAGAAGTCTGGGTATTGTACTTGGAAGTGTTTCTGGAGCTGGTATAGTTTTCTGTGCCATTTTAGTTCTCCACCGGCCATGCTATCGGCGGTTTAGGGACTCCAGAAAACGCACCATGTGGATCGCGCAAAACTCTGAAAACCTGGAAGTTCGTAATACTTCCTTCGCCGGTCATTCGGACCACAGGGAAATTTCGCGCTTTTCGGTGGATTCATAGATCCTGCGACCTCATTTTCTTTCTTTAAATATTTTTTTTACTTTCTTTGCCGCAACCCGTCATATCGACAAGCGATTTACGCCCCTCCTAAAGCACGTCTCAAACAAGATCTTGTATTGACAGCAAGAATCTCGATATGCACTTGCTGGATTAAAATAGCGTGGGATATTGTGAGAATATTGAAGAATAGTTTTAGGACTTCTGTCCCTTGCCGCACCCTATGATCTGGGGCGCTTCTAAGCCATAGATGTCGCATGACTCCTCTCCAAAGCTGCGTTAGCGTGTAAATGACGTAACAGTCAGGACTTCCTTGAATTTCTCATAATTGGGTTCCACTGAATTAGATGCTTTCAATGCCCGAGCTTATAGTGCATTGCGAATATAACTCCTGTAGTTATTTGTGTTATTAAACGTAATTCTCATACTGAGCCAAGGTTTTACCTTCTATAGTGGTTGGTGTTGGTGCTTTCGATTAAGAATCTACTGATTTAAGTAACGGATGACTTTTAGCAATGCTCCTTTACTTAGTATACTTTTACACTCAATTATAGGATCACATATTATTGGAGTTTAAGCGTGTATTGTAGTTGCCAGTGTGCGATTACAGCCGGCGCTTTTTCTTGCTCAAAGGGGGTTCTATAAATTGGACCAATCTTCGGGTCCCGCGGACGCAGAAACACTTCCTTCGCGGGGGCCAAGGAGATATTGAGTGATCTGGACGACCAAAGCGCGCAAATGCCTGTTGATCATCGAGCATCTCTTGCACGCACCTTGGGAAACCACCGATCTTCCGCCGGGACGAGGAACTAACAACTTCAATTGTGATCACTTCTTCCAGGCTTTTGACAAGGAATGCGACTTTCTTGCGGTAATAACCGCAGTCATAGCAACCGTCATCTTCCTCCAGAAGGCCAAGAGGATGTCCACGGGCAGTCTGAAATTGGCCCCCTGGAAATTCTCCAACAACTTGTTTCAGTAAAATCCTTGGCTGTGAGCTTCTGCAAAGAACTGAACCTTGACAAAGATACGACCCGTTTCTAGATACTGGTGTTTGGTCCAATTCGAAAAAGAAACAGCCAGTAACTAAAACAGCGCGGACTATATCGTCAGGCACAATGTATGTCGATGTTTCCAACTCTCCCAATACGTCCACGTCGTCTAGCCTGGGGAGAGAACAAGTGACAGGATGGTTTAGCCGATGAATATCTTCTCGCATGTGATCGGATATATAATTCAGCGCCTCGAAGAACCCCTGTTCTCCATCCATGGAAGGGGAGGACATGGCTGCTCTGAAGAGGCGAGGGACAGCCCCGTCTTTGAAGATATTACCAGTAGAGCAGTCGCCGTTTCCTTTCTTCGGAGTTGTGAATCCTGTACCTACCGAGATGAGAAGGTCATGTCGTCTCGCTGCCGGCCAGATAACAGCGGATTCCTTCAAGGCGATCGATACGGGGTTATTTGCGCGTACACCGCCATCTTGTAGAGGACCAAATCCAGGGAGCGTTTTTGTTCTAAAAAACCTAGCCTATGATTAACAACGGTATCTCGTGTTCAATAAAATAACTCACCACGGTGCCGCGACGCTACATCGAGCACTGCATACTGTCAGGTATCAATTCAACCAGTAAAGGAGAAGAAAGAGGGCAGTGACGTAAATATTAACAATGGAAAGCAGCTTGACATAAAAGGACATGGAATCTTACGCTTCCCAAAGGAACGGGTCTTGGCTTTGGTCCTGTGGCCTGAGGAACAGATATGCTCCTTCGACGGGACGAGGACCAACACCACGATAGTTTGCCATGACGCATGCTTTTCCGTCAGATGTTCGACTTGCAATGATAGCAATCCGGCTGCTCGAGCCAGAAGTTGAACCAAAATCAAACAGGCGGCGGTTTGAACTCAATCCGTCTTTCAGCACGTTATCTAGGTTTTTCCCATCATATTGGCTATCTGCCAAGAAACCCAAAAAGTACTTCAGCCATTTCGTGCATTTGGTGCTTGCTATTCCCTGAAGTGGATTAGACCTAGATTTAAAAACCTTTCGCGCAAATTCAGGAAATTTCTGAAAACTTTGCTCGGCCGTAGATTCGTTGAAAACCATATCCATGCCGTTCAGTGCCCCTGAGGTCCCACATATTAGCACATAGAGGCCTTCGTGAAACTCTATCAGCCAATGTGGAAATGAACAAGCAACACATACCAGCACTTGTACATGTGAAAAGATCCACTATTTGTGAGAGCAATATTTCATTGCCCAGTCTTTTTTCCAGTGATTGTAGTAAGCCCAACTGAATAATACCTCGAACTCCACCGCCATCTAGGCTGAAGACAACAGGGGATTTGGTGGGAGGGAGCTGTCGAATGACTAGCTGGAAACTTTCACTGCATACAGGACAATGGCGAATGTCAAAATGGTATTCTGCGGTTTTACTTGGCAATCCGAATATAACCACACAGGTATCACAGATTGCATGATGACAGGGGAGCATGTGCTCGGGCGACCGACACAGACATAGAAAACAAGAATTTGTTGAGTAAAGGCCTTTCCATTTGTTATAGAATTCGTGTAACGCAGTTCTTCTGATGCTTGCAGAAGATCGAGTGGGGCTCATTTCACGAGAAAACCGACCCATATGGGCTAAGACTAAGTTGCAGTCCTCTGTCGGATCGAGGCCCGTATGTATATTCCACGCTTTCCGACATTGATCGTTGTAAAGGTGCTCGAAGATGTCCTCGTGGCGGAAGCCTTGACCACCGTATTGTCAGCGATATCATGGAAACCGAAAATGCGTACTTACAATGCATCCCAGGGGGGTACGCGTTCATGAACAATGCGGAGGCAACAAAGGCATGGGTATCTTCGGTAGCGCAACCCAAATCTTTTGCATGACTTAGGAAGCGCACCAAGTGTTCCATGGTAACAAAGTTCATTTTGTGGCTTTCGCGGGCGACCTTTAGGCAATTCAAGGCTGAATTCTCTGGGCTTCCCATTTTAAGCTCAATTGTTCGGTTCCAGAGAGTACATAGTTGCAGGCCTGAGAACGATAAGCCCTGCTCAATCAGCTCTGTGCGGGAAATCTGGACTTGATCGAGAAGGACACATCGCAAGGGCTCGAAAGCTGCCTTGAGGGACAACATATGGCGATTTCGGAGATCAAGTATAGAAACCGGTAGCTGGATACTTGCATTTGGAAAATGCAAACGCTCCTTTACCATGGTACCATGAGCCTCGGGCATTTCACTGCATGTCAGGACAATGATAACGCGCGTGAAGCTAGGTGCCGAACGAGAGCCAATTTTGACGTTGTGATGTGGACTCTCGAGCATTTCAAGAACTTCTTGCATCTCTGAGGGGGTATCTACGAAAAAGCATAGGACATGTGTGAATGCAAAGAGAACATTGGTGATCACGTGTCGCCGTGTGTCTGCAGCGGACCGGGACCCTTCTTGGGAAATATGGTATCGCTGAATCCTCTCCCTTGACCGATCTGATATATTTGTTTTGCGCTCTCCATAACCATTGAATAAGTCGGTTTCTGCAAAGAGGACAGGGTTTTCTGTAATTGCAGTTTCCGTGCTGACATGTAGTTGGGCCAATCCAGTCTGTCCCCTCCGGGTAATATTGTTATGAGGAAACAACGCTTGAAGAGCTTTGATCCGGTTCCCATTACCTGCAAACCAGATTAAAGATGGATATTGGGTCTCGGGATGGCCCAACTCCTCCACTAGTCTTTCCAATCGTCCTGTGTCCACCAAACTCCAGCCAGTAGTTTCTGGTACGAGGTCAAGCCACGCTGCCATTTGGATGATTATCTTTAACGGTTAATGGTTCAAGTAATATCAGTAACCTTTTATGCCACAGTCTTTGTTATAGTCCTCCAGATACACATATCTACCATCCAAATTTTGATGCCCCCTTTTAAAGAACTTTTACAAACGGGGGTTCGAGCATCTCTTTTTTCTTACCATTTTATATCAAAAAGTGAGTCCCACAGGTTTCTCATAGAGCACAAGTCTTGAGGCCTGAACAGCTATAGACCCAAGGTTTGGCGCAACGAGGCTACCAAAAACACATTTTTTATTATCGTCTCTGTCAGCACAAAATTAGCCTTTGTCCTGTTGGGGCAGTTTTTCTTTCCCGTGCAGATTCACTCAGTTGATGGTATGGCAAAGGAAAAAAATGCTTAAAGAACAAACACGATCTCTCAATTCATCATCTAAGAAGCTTTGCCTGCTAATTGTAGCTGGCAACTACCGTTCATCTGAGGACCATGCACGCTATAGGAGGCTTCGAATACATATTCTTTCCCTCTCCCCCTATAATTCCTTCATTGTACCATACTTGCCATGTATGACTGGGCGCGAGTTTTACTCCGAAGTTGGCTTCGACCAAGTCAGAACAAGTCAGCTAACAAGGTATTTGGCAAACGCTTTCAGGAAATATGTGGCGACTGTGGACGTGTGAATCAGGGCACATTATACACTCAAATGCTTAGAGAAGAAGCGGAAATGGATTGGAAGTATAATCTGAGCGCTGGTACTGGTAACTGGGTGCTACTTGCCGGATATCTAGTGGTCCCGGGCACTTTCACATCCTTGGAAAACTCAGACCAAGTTGAACAAAAATTACAGGAAAACAACGCTGGACGGGTTTTGCTGAAAACTATACAGAACCCCCCACTTCTGGTAATTGCCTGTATTTTCTTAGTCTTTGGCGGGGTTTTACTGGGCTGGCTCTCAGTTAAATTTAAACACAGTTACTCGTGGCTGATCAATAGAATTTTCATGTGAGTGACCCCTTGTGCATATTACGGACAGATACTAAAGAAAATCTCAGGCCAGCTTGTATGAACGCCGCTGCTGGTTTATTGACCACTCTCGTGAATGTTCTAACGTCGCAATCCGGTGACTGTTCTGTCATGGCTTTCATGACTTTTATTGTGACAGGGGTTACTTTTATCTTGTTCCTCGCACTGTTTGCCATATTTAAATTTTGGAAGTTGAGGAAGGTTATTAAAGAGGACGAACTTCAGCATCTGTCAAGCCTCCCAAACCATCTTTTCACCTACCTCAAGAGTATTTTGCTTTAGAGCCTCGTCAGAGCTATGGGAATCTGCACGTGGTTTTTAGTATTCACCAGAGAATTCCTCAGCCAGCAAGCTCCTCAACGAAAATTGTCAATCCGTTGGTTCTTTAGTTAGGGCTAGATTTACGATAGTGTTTCCTGATATTAAATTCACTATAATAGTTCATACAGCGATACCCTTAAGGCATGATTCAGGTCTTTGCGTAATCGAGCTCCTAATCCATCTCTATCATGTCAAGGAGCTGAGTTCACTAGCCCGTCCCAGCCACTGTCTACATTGTGCCAGAAACTTTTGTAGAGTGTCAAGGTACACGTTCCGCGGCTTATTATTTCACCATATATCATCAAAGGAAGAGCACTACCATTGCACGCCGAAAAGTATCACATCGATGGGAAACATCTCGCGCTTTATGACCCTATGACAAGGCTGGCACTCTCTGTACTTGCACGTGCAGGAACTTTAAGGAACTAAGCATCAATTATATAACATTCATTGTGTGTAGCGATTTAAGGAACGAACGCAAGGAAGTATATGTTCTGAAAGACAATACAATGAACAAGAGAAGGGGAGTTCCCTCTTTGTTCCTACACTAGTAACCTGGCCTTGCCCTTTCTAAGTTTATCTCCAATTTTCTGTGATATAAGACCGACAGGAATATATACCGCTAAATCTTGGAATGGCTCATTGGTTTCCGAGGCTAGGTTACCCTTAGGTCAGTGTGAGAATAGAATCGAGGATCAAAAATAGCTCACAAAATGTAGGAGCAGTTTTTAGGCAATGAGTAGAAAAGTATTCATTTCATACCTTACATACATCTTTAGAACCCTTTCATCCCGGCCTTCTAGCCACTTGCTGCTCGTTTACGGAGTCACACCTTGTGCATTGTATAAAATGTTCCAAATTTCGCTACGCCGCTCCGGGAAACTAACAACAGGGGGCTTTGGAATCACCAAGCTAGGCGAAACAACAGGTACGTAATCTGCAGGTGTCCTGTGAACCGCAGGCTGTGAACGAGTCCTCTGTAATGGTCAGTTATTACCTAGTCCCTTCCACCTAGCCACGTATCTTACTATGTCTTCCGAGGTCGGGGCAGGAACATCAGGGTGAGAATGGTATGTATAGATCCTTCTGTTTGGCATTTCCATAATCAACCAACTTCGAATGCCGTATAGACTCCAAAAGTCATTGTGACGTCGAAGAAGATTGTTTCGACGCTTTCGCAGTTGTTCTTGTTTAACTCGGCTCATAACTGGTGCCATTTGTATAATTCTCAAGATTGACACAAAAGATTGGCCGGTCAGAATATGCCCATTAAGCTGAAGATATTGGGGACCGAGGACTTGCAAGGGAAGTTGCAGGATGTAATAAGAGGTGCTCTCTGCTGCAAAGAAGCGCACATTGCAACCCACAATACGTGAAAAAAAACCCCGCCTCACATTCTAACGGCTGGCCGTACTACTGAAGGTGCGCAGGCTTATTATTGAGTGACCATTTCGTCTAAAAACTCTTTTACTCATGATCTATTAAATCCCAAACTTTCTTTCATCTATGCATCAAACACCTGACACATGAACTTATTTTCGTATCTTCCGTTGAGGGCAGCCCTATGGATTTGAAACTGAAGGTCATGGATAGATAAGCGTGGCCCATTATGCTTTTGCTTTACAATGCAGAGCTAAATTCTTTTTTCTAGCGTCATTTGCAACTCTGTGTCTGCCTTAGACAGTCATTCTCGATACAGTATCGCCACGACTAACACACACTGAATAACTCTTCCTTGGCCCCGCCGCCAAGGTTCTAGCGTAGATGATCTATTAAGCAAGCCACTTCAAGCTGAGGGCTGCAGTTTTATGGCATCTGTAGTATGTCGCCACATAGTGTAGTGAATATCAAGGTTTCAAGTTCAACAATCAAACAGTAGAATTCCATTATACGAGATGCAGTAAGTCATAGGACCATACAAATGCCTTTCCTGTAGCGCATTATTTTTTTAATGTGCTTGCTCAATATTTTATACCCGTTAAACCCTTGACGATAGGGCCAAAAATTTGTTAGTGTGTATGGGTAAAGCCGATTTGAGAGTGACTATATTCCTCTATTAAACATTATTGCGGCAAATATGATCGACGTTACTATTACATGAGACCTATTAGGCTCGATATACATGACTAATGGTTAAAAGGTGCTTACTGGATTTTCAATGACTGTCTGAACCCCGCTTCCAGACTCCTAATTATCGAAGCTACTGTACTCATATTTGCCGGAGTAATTAACTTGAGGTCTCTTAAGCCCTAATCACTACGCCAGCCACGAAGGAGGTTCTCAAAATCTACGGACATATCTAGTCGATGAGTGATGAACATGTTTTCCTCCTCCCGAGGATCTAAAATGTCCATGTAGCCTAGACTTGGAACCTGGAAAGTATTAACCTCAGTTGTCCAAGTTTCGCCTGCTTATTAATTACCTGGCTCTCGATGTTGAGGCTGAATTTTCAAATTGATCATGCCGTAGCGGTCATCGTTGGATTCCTTCTATGTGGTTTTTTAATGTTTCTGTTTTGAAAGGGTGATGGAAAAGCTCTTTACCGTATTCAGCGTATTCTTTCTCCGCGGTTCAAAAGGAGAGGTTGGAATTACTAGGCACGAACCCTGTAGTATAATCAGAACACTTCGTTGGAATGCTCAATGGAAGACCAACTATTCCAGTGGTAAAGGCAAGGGCAATAGAAATCACTATCCATGCAAGCATGGCATATTATGCAGTTGGTGTACAGGGTTTTGATCTTCTGGTTAATATGTCTGCAAGCGCACTGAAAGACGAATTTTTGCTGTAAGTATTAAATTATACCAATAGAACACCGAAACTTCAAGCGGGAGAATTGAGCATGCATTATTTAAATAAACGACATATATAGCAGTTTATAATTATATCGCCAAACTCACTTTTCTTTCCAACCCATCAATACTCGGCTGAATTATTTTAGATCTTGCGACGAAAAATCAAGGAATAAGTGACCATCGTTTAGAGGTAGCATCTTGAACCTCTTCAATAAAGCAGACCTCAATTACCGAATATTTATTCGACGATCCTCATATCAATTAATCGATGGGAGTAGGCTCGCCCTCAGCATATATTCATCGGGTTTGGCATGAAGTTACATTAATATATAGGTCAAGGCCATAGCGACGACAGCTTTTGTTTTCCAAGAATATTATAAATCTGTATATTTTCTATCACCGAGCAGCACAAATGTCCAATTGGCAGGATCAACTCACCAACGATGCGGATTCCTCCTACAGTGGTACTACTTTCCAGTCCAATGATCCCGATGCCGTAGACGTCACCTTTTCTGACTATGAATCCGAATACATCCCGTCAGAAACAAGTTCGGACCGGGCATTCATTGCTCCGGACACCGACACGCTCTCCTATATTTCCGACAAACCTTCGGAAGAAGGAAATTGTTGCAGCTTACAGGTATGTAATGTGGAAGACATAAAAGATAAAACCATTCACTAATGACCGGTAGCCATCATCTCCGGGGAGGAAAAAGCCGGTCAAAACAATCTCAAAAAGAACCATATACTGTAACGGCCAGCAAGAAACTCAGTTTCTAGTACTTTGGTACTCTTGGGAAAAGGAGGAAATTTTTGAATAATCTGTGACGGCCAACAGGCATCAAAGAGAATTATCTCGCTTCTGGGGTTCATGTTGACAGCGGAGAGTAGTGTCCATTGAGATGCCAATTGCGGTCTTCTGATAAAGACGTAGGTAGTTTAATATGTCGAATGCAGTTCACACGAATGAAACCTAGCAATTTTGGTTTTACATCAAACCTATGTTCTTTTTGTTTGACCCAGATATAGCACTGTCTCACTCGCTGCTCGTACGTCACATATTGGCTTGAATGATCGCGGGGACGTATTGACATGGCATTAGTTTATTGTTATAGCTCAGGGAACGATTGATTCTCTCTTTTATGAGGGGCAGAGGGAATCGTTTATACAGCGTGGGGATGGGAGATAACAGCAGTATCAGGGGCTTTCAATGGTGTTTAGTGGTGCTACAGCTTTTTATCCGAAATTTTGCGCCTGGTCAGTCTTATTTTCCGACGCAGTATTTAGTGACCAAAAAAGGCAGCAGCGACTATTTTTTAAAGACTAGATTATCTTCTAATTAACATGCCGTAGGCAAGCTAAAGAACTTAATGAGCAGCGGCAATAGCAACCCTCCCGATAGAAAGGCTCCTGGGCCGATCATGAATCGCCAATGGCTTGTGCAGAATCATGCTCAAAAACAGGCCCGGGAGAGCAGCCTTCCCAGTCCTTGAGAATACCAAGGATACCAAGGCGAAAGCTTTCAAATGCTTGCTCGAAGTAGACCAACAAGGCTTCCTGGTTGGTGTATCGATGCTCTAAAACCTCTTTCTCCTGGGACAAATGGATATTGATTGCACGAAGCGCCTTGTTTTCCCTTTCGAGGGTCTGGGTATGGGCCTTCTTTGCGGAATAAGACTCCCAAAGCGTCGAATATAACTCCAATATCTGAGTCGACGGCTGCGGAGCGTCGGGGTGGGCTTGTTCTAGTCCCTTTAGCCCTACAAGCAGTGGTTCGCAAGGCTCATTATGAGGCTTCGGATGGGGCTCCTGGGCCAATATATCTTCGGCCCACTATCATAATGAATGAGCACGGGTCTGCGGACTGTTACAAGCATACTTACTAGCAATTTTTCTGCCAGCTCGTTGGCAGAATGAATGGAAAAACTGTCTTCGTGTTCGAATGGCGGACACACTGTGTTTCGTGAGTGCCTAGTCTTTGCATTCGGCTCACAGTCGGGGCTGTCCATATTTTTAGAAATTGTAGCAGAGTTGTTGCCGAAATTTTGGTTTATGTAGACATTTTTATACTACTACCCTTAAGTTTAGGGTGGGTAGCCTGCTTGTCTAGATGTCGGGTTGCCCTTTCAACAAGTTGCGGGACTGGCGATAAATTCGGGCGATGATTATTTGCTTCATCTACTTCAGGAGCAATCCCAATGCTGCTGTGTTATTGGTCCCGTGCTCATTCGGCGGGCCCTCCTTGGACATGCGCAGTACGTAACGGATTGGCCATTTCCCATCAGTAAAGTCGCCTTGGCTCATCGATGAAATGAGGGAAGCCCGTCTCCAGCGTGCGATTTTGTGGGCACTGGAGATCAAATGTTATTTGCAAATTGACGAATGTTTGCATGGTACGGCTTTAGAGAAGGCGTATCGGTCCGTACAGAGGCAATTGCTCTCTGTACGGAGCACAAGAGTTTAAAGGTTGCTCTAGGAGCTGTTGATTTGGCAAAAGCGATCAAAGAAAACCACCCTTGGGGTCCGAATTTAGACGAAAAACCATTGATTGATCTCGCACCGTCTATATTACGAGATGCTTGTGCTGAAGTGTGTCTCTGGATTTGTTCGCGTGGCAAGAGACCTTCAGGACCACTTGAGGACCAAGCCCGGGTCAATCATTCAACAACCCCCGGTGAACAGTGTCTCCAAACTTTAGATCAAACCCATCGGAGAGGCCGACGGGCAGACTACGCCAAAATTGCTAAGTCGCTTCGGAATGCAGTGGCCGCAGCTTTATCTCACAGGGACACGGAACAGATGGTTGCAAGGCTCGATGAGCAGATCGCCTCTTTGGAGGCAGACTAGATCTAGCTTTGCGGGTGCAGTTGAATAGGGCTTGAACAAGGTAGTTTCCATTACAAACATAAATGTATTGTAGTAAGAAGAACAAAGCAGAGTGCAGGTACCCTGTAGCTTCGAATTGATTGGCACAACTCCACTACGAGTGGTGGCGGGACCCGTCCTCATCGAGGGACCGAATGTCCCTTTCAATTCAAATGGAGGTCCCGTGAACACCATCTCGGATCGCTTGAGCTGCAGCAGGTTGTTTACGGAGATGGGGTGATTGCTGGGTTAACGATATCAAAAACATTGGGACGATCGGCTTGGTAGATTATTTGTGACCGGGCTTCTTTGAATAGGATTTGTTATACAGACATGCACCCTGGCCCTTACGAGGTGTAGACTCTCATAATTGTATACATCCATGTATCTAGTTGTGCGAAGTACGAGTTCCTAGAACCGAACTTGGAAGTCTCCCCTGAGGCCAGAAATGGCCAAGTTGCTCTCCGTGTTTGCAGGTTGCCCGGGCGATTGAAGAACTGAAGCGGTAATAGCATCAAATAAATGTACCCAAATTCCGCTCGATCATTTTCCCTGCTCAAAGTACGGGTGATTCTTACACATGCTGGCAAGGTAGCTTTCGTATTATCGCTTATCAGTAGTGGCATCAAGCTTCAGAAGGCTACACATGTCAACTTTGGCCACAGATTTTGGCCTGGCACTGTCTTCATTAGATCTGGGTAACGTCTGAGGCGCGATACGTTGTTAATTGACTACCATCAGTGGTGTTACGAAATGTCGCCTTGGTCGGGTACAGAAAATGCTGCCCTCGTCTTCAATTGCATGACGTAATCCCGCTCGTGCCTATTGGCGAACAGCAGTCTCTTAGTTGAGGGCCATATAAACAGCTTGTGGGCTGCAGCGGTATGCTCAACGGGGTTCAAGAGCTTACTCTCGGGCTCGCTGTTCGAGTCGCGGAGCTGCTCCACTGTCAGTTGTGCGCATACTTTGTAGTACCCTCATCCAGACTCGCAGAATCCAGAATATTAGCAGTTGCGGTTTATGCCGTATGCACCTGTGCTTGAAGATGCATGCCCTGATCAAGGACTGACTTTGGAACGGCCAGACGTGCATGAACGGCTTTACTGAGCCACGGTGCTGGTTTCGTGCCGGAAGACAACTTGTGGAGCTGCTGACCAAAGTGGGTTGTTGCCTTACGTTCATGCAGTTTTCCAGGCGATCCTCAATATTCTGTTCGTGTCTTAACAATATCTGCGACCTTGCCTTGATTGTACTGCAGTGCCTATGTATAGACCAGTGGGGTGTTTCCTTCGCAGTAGGTGCAATTCGGGTGTCTTTTTGTCACACTTTGCTTTCCTGGGTCAGCATCTATTACAAGTCTATAGCTCGAATGTCAGCAATTACTCCTTCAGAAATACTTGTTAAACTCAGCCAACCAGAGTATCTCTAGGTGTCTTGCGCTGGCGGGCCCCACGTGCCCGATTTTGACAATCATATCAACGGCGGCGCAGCAGCTCTAGTTCTGGAAGGCGGCCACGAACTTTGGAGCAGAGGGTAGGGGTCGAAAAAGCTTGTATGTTCAGCGCTAGGGCTGGTCCGAAGGCAGAAAGCCCATGTGAGCGCGAAAATTATAGGGAAGCCGCGGGCGGCGAGCCATACATTGCTGGCAGGAATTGGCGTGAGGAGAAGTTGAGGTCTCGGCGCTAACCAATATGCACGGCGTTAGGAAATAAAGAGGCGGTCGTTGGGCAGTATAGTCATCTGGAAATTTTTGGCGTAGCGGCGGGGGTTGGGCGGGGGGATTTCGAAGGACGGACGGCGAGAATGATGCCACGGAGGTTCGCAGGTTACATGCGGCCCTTCGGGTATGCGATTCATCATAGATATAGCAACCGAATCCGCGGAGGTTGGAGCTGCCAGACACGTTTTCCTCTGATAGTGTTGTTCGGTACTTGACAACGTCCCTTGAGCAGCCAGTGTACCGCTCAGAAGCGGTTCACCCTGGCGAAATGAAGACTCTGATCAACAAGGCGACCGGAGAAACCAAGTGGAATATAGAATGGACGTAATGAATGGTGTCGACAGAGGGAAAGTTTAAACAATGAAGTCAGGATCTTGCCATCCGGAAGTGTGTTGTCCTTTGACTCAAATAACACAGGCAAAATGCGGTGACGTTGCAGATTTTAGGGGGGCGAACGAGGTGGAGTAGAGGAATTGTGGGATTTCGACGATGATCCGACCAGGGGTGCCAGTCAGGGCGAAAAATTGAAAGAAATGATAATACATACTGTACATAAGTGAAGATCGAAGGGACAAAGTAAAAAAAAGAAAAAAAAAACAAGCGAACGAGTAGTATCAATCGTGTAAGATGCCCCTACCTGTTCGGGGGTACGAGCCGCTAATACTAAGTATTAGAGGGGAGTATCATCAACTCACATTTTTAGGTATGGAAACCCCAACACACTCAGCACATGATAGTGATGGTCGCAGCAACTCAAGCCATTGCTTGTTCGTTTCCACCGATATGAAAGTCGTGGTGAAAATTCACGCGGAAATTCGAGTGATTCAAGTTATTTGAAGCTTTTTTGTGACTGAATGGTGTAACTATATATATTGACGGTATGATAGGAGAGACTCTTGAGAAAGAGCACTGAAGATAATGCTTGACGACCAACATAACAGCAGTACAAGTGACAGCTCTGCCATCTTTTATTTTCTTGCAGTATCCACGTAACGATCCGGTGGTGAGGGTACATGTAACATAAGAAAGACTTGTTTGGAAATGGTTGTTGGTGCACCTGAATAGTCCCGCACCTCATATGCTATTTGACCGACTCCATGATCCAGGATCCCCCCATTTTTGTTCAACAGGTTATGAGCCCGGCTAGTTCTCTTGCATGGTGCAGGTTCAACCCTGAGTTCGACCAATTCTTTTCTCTTCATATCACATGATTTTTGAGCCTCATACAGTGTCCGCTGGGCCCTTGAGCCGCCTTTCCTGGCTGAGTGTATGGGTGCAGACGGGGCGTGTTGGAGCACCTGAATAGCCTGCACCTCATACCGCTGTTTGACCGTGTCTAATATACGGGGCGCTCCCATTTTTGTTCCACAATATTATCCTTCTGCTGAAGACTCAACATACTAGATGCCGTTTCGGAATAGTGCGCGCAGTCCTCGAAAGATATAAAAGCCCATCAATGCCCACCGAGAATTTCTAACACTGAGGTTCACCCTATTTTCTGTTCAAACTTTTGCCGCAACGCTGACCGTGGGTGGTTACCTGGTTACCTTTAGACATAGCAGGGCAACCGCGGCTGGAGACAATTCTTTGACAATCCGGTAACTAAACACAGCCAACTCTATCATTCCGATGAGTCCTCTTAGGTCTCCACCCTACCATTAGAGGTTTGCCATCCGTTTCTCGCACTATTTTGAAAATCACTGACGGCTCCTTCTTGACAGGAGCTCCATGGTAGCCCACTGAGAAAGCTTTGAGTTCTCTGTACGCCCTGAAGCACAGCTTTCAGTCGAGGGAGAAACTATTTCTCGGAAGATTGCAATGCCCGAGGCAGCGAACGCGGCACTGGCTATGAAATATCGGCAGCTGTTAAAGACAATGAAGCCGCAGAACAAACGCTTGAGGTAAAAGGGCGCTGACGAGACTGGCGGGTATCGGCCAAAATGGACCTATTAGTTAGCCTGCTACTGTGGTGAAGGGACCCACCAGAGAAAATAACAGAAGGAGTAATAAATAGCGTATGATATTACATGGGCAAGGTAAAGTCGATGTACTAGTAGGTGAACGATAGCATGTTTACCATCCTGTGAGGGTCTACCAGCATGCAGTGTATCCCAAATATCATTCAAAAAGCAAGTTCATCTAGCGTTTCCAACTTGTCCACTAGTACCATAAGCCACATAACTCTCCTCTCACGTAATATCAATCAGAGTCCGAACACCTGTCTATCACAGCTCCTAGTTCCCGGAACATGTGCTGGCTTAGCCGAAACCAGGCGGTACCGATAAAGAAAGAGAACGTATTCCTAGGACATGTCGCGAACATCCACTCTTTCCCGGTCCGATATATCCCGAAGCTTAGGCCGCATACGTCATGTAACTTGAGCAACTCCTCTTTTCTTTTTGGATCTATATTGAAGGTGAGGTACATCACAGGCCAGGCGCTAATCATGCACGCACCCAAATCGAGTTGTTTGATCGCCAGGGGGTAAAAGTAAACGAACCTCGGATGTAAGCAGAAATACCCCCGGAGTGGACCCGGTCGATCGCGCGTGGGGCGCGCGCATTTCAAGCAATTCTACGAATGAACCATTTCCAATTACTCTAGCAGGTTGAAAACTGGGAGCTTCCTGCCGCCGAAAACTGAGCATACAACTCATTAATTTTTTGCTGGCTGCCCTAGTTCAGCTGAGCTTTACTACGTCCCTTTCTTGCTATCTGCCATGCCAGAGGGCAAAACCACTCAATCGGTAGCGGCTCCCGCCATAGCCATCCCAATCACGCTGGCCAGGGCACCTTCCCAACCAGTTTCACCATCTCCCCCTGCCGTCAATAGTCCACTTCGTGCCTCAACCCAGAGAAAAACGCGGCGACGTGTGGTATGATTTTGCAGCTTTTTATGAGGGCGTAGGAGTAGTGTTGACCTTTGAGCTCGTTATTCACAGGCACTCGCTTCCCTCGATCCGGAAAACCGTCCGCATGAAAACACCCAAGAAGATTATTCCGACCTTGTGCACGCAGACTGCAAGTTCATATTTGAAAAGGCCGACAGAGATCGTCGGCAGCTTACGGCGCAACTCAAAAAGGCGACGGATGCTGCGCGCAAGTTCAACGCAGAAAAGGTGCGATTCAATGCACAACTCCGAAAGCTCACGTCAGAGTTGAACGAGTCGAAACAAAAGAACGTCGATTTGGAACAACGCCTTAAGGAGTCGACTGTGGACCATCAGATTCATATTCTACGGGAAGAACATAAGAGAATTTTAGAAGAGTTGGGCAGGGTCTCTTCGTCTGTGTCAAGAACAATCGATTCAAAGAGAGATGAATCCCAAAGCATATACCTGAGCGGTGTTAATTCTTCTTCCGATATTGCTCAAAGCTCTTGGACACAGGCTGAGCAGTTAATGCTGCACGACGATCAAGTCGTTCCAACCGGATTGACATCAATACCCCCTACTTCCAATTCTTTGATGGGGCTGCCGCCTTTGCACACGTATAATACAATGCCTTGAGAAGTGACTAAATAATACTTTGCGAGATGATTATCAATACAGAATTCCTCTTCTCAGTAAAAATTGGATTCCAAAAAACTTTTACCTCTCTGGCTTACACTTTGTCGGGTCAAATTTGTACAGGCAAATCAGCACGCTGTATTTCTATACTCTATCTCTGCCACCACGTTAAGACTAAAATAACAAAACCTTTAGTAACAAACAACATGCAATTTAAACAATGACGGTGGATCCGTTATCCTGGCTTTTGCCAAGACGGGGAAATAATGCGATGTCCGGATTAGGTATCCACCGTTGTGTAGATCACCTGGTCTGGACTGCTCGGAAGCTGCCTCCCATCAATGACTAGTTTGCCATAAGATTCGAGATCAGTGATGGCCCAAAATCATGGCTGGGGGTTTGCGTTTGCCTGGTTTGCCAACGTCTCCACTGATTCCCCCTGCGTGTGATTTACTCTTTGCATGTCAGCCTCATTCTTAAACTAACGGCACACCTACAGATCGTCACGTGAAAGGGAATGAAGTGTTTTTGTCTGGAATACTACGAGCTAACAGGTCCCATCCTGTGATACATATACCGCGGCGAGGGGAGTGCAACCCTGTGGATGAAGTTATGGTTCCCTAAGCGAGAGCTACGCTGGACCCAATTCGCTCCGGAATATGGGCTGAAACCGAATCAGGGACGCAGATTTAATTCCAAATACTGTTGGATCACCTTCCGCAAGACTTGTGTCGGGATGATCTTGTGCGGATCGTACGATGCTGCTATGGCCAAAATGGTATCGCGGTGTTCACCTAGATGGAGTACCCGGAGCTTCCGAGTCCAATGGCAAGACCAGCGGGAGGGCCACCCTTCCATGACACTAACCCAATACGAGGTACACAGGCGAGAAAAAGCAACGTCATAGTTAGTAGGCCTACTGCCATGATTAAGTCAGTCTTCGAGCAACCATATTCTCACCATAATTAATGGCGCACTATAGACGGAAAGTGAAAGACAGCCGAACTTTCCGCCCAATAATTGAGTCTCGGTGGAATTACATGGTGGCTGATAACCCACAGACTCTCGAATGTACAATGTACGAACACCTCGATTAACTTGAATCGGCCTGACTGTCGTAGAACCGTGGAGCCGTTTGGCAAGTGTTAATACGATGAATTAGAAGAATGATGAGTGGATCTCAAAGAGGCCAATGCTTGACCGATCCCACTGTTGCTGATCCTCTACCGCATCGTCCCGCACGCACAGGACGTAGCCAGGCGCTTGCTATAAAATTTAGTGGGGAACAATTATTTCTTCTGCCGCTAACCAGTAATAATTAATCACGAAAAAGCATTAAGCGAAAGAAGGATCGACCCAACCGCTGAAACGGACATTTCCCCCGCTTAAGGGTCCGTCGATACTACCTTCCCATTGGTGCTACACCCGAGGGTAGATCAGGGGAGAAATGCCTGTTTGTATGATATCCCTCGGTCGGGGCGCACCGTTGAGCCGAATTGATCAGCAGCAAAAAAAAAAAGAGGAAAGAAGCTAGGGGTAGATCCAAATCAAGCAGGGCGGATGAAACACAGAGTGGATCAAGATCATGACATCCGAGTTATGTATTGACCTGTGTTAAAAGGGGAAAATAAGCAGGCCGGCCAGTAGCCATAGCTCATAGCTTGCCCCCATTTGTTCTTGACTGACAAGTTGCGGCGAAGCGAAAAGAGGGGAACAGATTATTTTCCTTGATTCGCGGGGGTGGTTATGCAAAAACTCAAGCCTCAATATCAATGGCGGCATACCTGACTCTCCAATTGGTACTAAACAAACTTGACCAGGCTTTTGCTCGATTTCCTGATTCGGTGATCGGCGTTGCTGATGTGCCCCTTCATGACGGGTCGGAATACAGGATACACTTACAACAAGAACCGTTGGCCCCTATCGGATATACTGCATTCCTCTTGCGGTAGGGCGAAGCTTATTTATAACGGTTGTGGTTCTATGTGGGGACAATACAAAGCCTCCTTAGCAAGTCCTGTACTGTAATACCGATGGGATTTTGGGAGGAATGCTGCATGCTACTGTCATAGAGAAATCCATAGAAATTTTATTATATTGTTTGATATTATAGCTCAGTGGTATAGCTTTTTTTGTTTTCTGTATGTCGCGGAGGACGAGAGGATACTTAGTGGGAGGGGCGGGGTGGGGACAGTAGCGCATATTCTCCCATCAAAGATCGACCACATTGTTTCCAAAACAGACAAAAGACCGGACCATATTTTCAATATCTCTCGAGTGCGGGCTTTTTATAACATAATACTGGTAGCTAAGCGCATATGCCACCACCAAGAGGGCATCATCATTCTCTTGCCAACATCGTATCTCTCGATTGCCTATAGACTTCACCACTAGGTACATTTCGGGGTCTCATTATGGGAGACGCTTAGATTTTCGTCCAACGACCCCATCTTTGCCTTTGTTTCCTTCCAATGCGGCGATAGCCTCTCGGAGTTCGGCAATGTCTGCCTGCACTATGGCCAAGGCTTCTTGGATAGCCGGCATCTCATCATATTTTTGAGCCACCGTCTCCAAACTCTTCTGCGCATTTTCGTTCCACCCGTTCTGCCTATAGAACTGGTCCTTCAGGTCACTGTAAGATCGAATCAGTACAACCAGTTCATATCAAGAAGCGATGACTCAACATAATATATTTCAGGACTCTGTTCATACTCACCTCACCTGGGCGTCTAACCTAGAAGCCATGTCAGCCCGGGAATGAGTTTGATTAGAGGTCAATAATTTGGCTTACTCGGTGTAAACGGTATAAAACCATCCATGGAGCTCGGGGGGCACATCTTGAGCAGATTCACCGCTGTGTGTACCCAGAGCGCAGTATCCGCCCTCTATTACATCCGGATTGCCATTATCCATCTGTAAATAACCCTCATCCACATAAGTCTGATCATCATCGTACTCGCAATCTTCATCTTGCTCAGCGGCCGGCGAGTCGGGGGTGCTCGAAATGTCAAATGGCTTGGTGTCTCGCATTTTGAGCCATTGATCTGCATAGCCCAGTGAACAATCTTCCGCTTCATTATGCGCCATAATGAATTAAGCGATCGTACTGAAGGAGAAGGTTGAAGTATGACAAGTCATTCCTTCGCAGGGAGGAAAGGATAGAATATATACCCAAAGGAATGGGGACCAAGCGCGAGCCTAGGCCTTTCTTTTGCCCTCTGGTAGTTCTAGAGACGCCTGCCAAAAGATAGTCCAGGGGAAAGTTGTCTTCTACCCTACGTTTCAGACATCTGCGGGCCATGGCTGCGGGTGGATCTTAGAGGAGCGCAGCAGTACTGAGCGGAGATACATCGCTATTTTGCGTTTTTTTTCCCTGCTCGGGTGACTCGCTAAGGGAATGTTGACGACATGATTAATTTCACTGCAGAGCCTCTAGGAGGACATGGTTATCTGGTTGTACATCAAAGCTGATAGAGAAGACCTGGTCATCACTACGAATGCATGCTACTAGTAAAACTATGAGCCAGTGGTGCAAGGCTGCGTAAATCGGTGAAGTTGCGTGTTGGCTGAATTGAATCATTGCTCTTCTACCTCGGTCAATTGCTTAAATCGGCAAGAAACGGATCTGCTGTTTATTTAATTGCTGTTTATTTAATTGCTGTTTATTTAATTGCTGTTTATTTATTGCTATTTATTTAATTGTTGTTTATTTAATTGCTGTTTAATCATTTGTCCTTTAATTGAATAATCATTTAATAACTCCATTTGCGGCCCCTGCAGCTGGACTCCGCAAAATAATGCGCTACAAATTCCCCACCTAGCGAGATGGCAACGTTTTATTATCATCTAGCTAATACGGCTATCGGCTCTAAAAAAGACAATTTTTTTTTTCGCTTGGATTAAATCCCCTTCTGCCCACCTTTTCTAGGGGAACTTTCTATTCACCAGCAGACCCTGTTAAGTTATTGCGCCTTCAGCCTACCCTTCTTGAGGATCTACCTTCCAGTGTCAATGGTGATGGCGCATGTCACTACAGTGACAAAAGGTCCTTACATACCATGGTCTTCCGAAGAAGAGGAAAACCTTCCGAAATGGGTGCCGCGCTATCAGCACCTTCCCTGGAAGAAAATACAGGAAGAGTACGTTCGACAGTTCAAGATCCCACGATCAACACACTCGATACGAGGAAAATACGATCAACTGCAGAAGGGAAAGCGCCGGCAACGCCCCATTTCAAAGAGGGCAGCTGAGCTACACCAGATAGCAGCACGCCGGACACGCCATCGGCAGCAGAGGATATGGGCGGTGCTCCCTGCGTCTCCCCCGCCGCTTCATCTAAGGGAACTCGACCCTCAAGTTCGTCGAATCTTACGTCAGATGCAGCAGCTTGAGATTGCTCGGCGCCATACATCAGCAGACAGCTCGACCGCTGAGGATGGTCCCCAACATCTCCCTTCACGGGTCTGCAATAATCCAGGTAAGTGATCCAACCTTATCTATGTTACACAGCTATAGCCTATGCGAATTAGTGCTGACAGATTCATTGGCCAAGCATCAAAACCCTCCTCCTACCAGCAGCCTGGCCAGTCGACCTATGGGTCGCAAACCTTTTGGCAGATCTATAGGCATATCACTGGGGCAGATGGTGGCAGGGGGTAAAAGTCAGACCATGAGATCCCTTTATACCACAATACTGTGGCAGATAACGGGACCTATTATGAAAACAGTCTAAGCTTCCTGCTTTGCCGTTAGGCAGGTAGATGGTTGTAACAATATCTCTCTACATACATTATGCCGATGTGCCAATATACACAATAGCAATCTTACTCCCCCCCACTGTTACTCCCATTTATCAATTGAAGTATGCTGCTGGAGTGAACGTGACCATCACTCAGGCAATGAGTCACTCTGATTGCTGGTTTGCACTCGTCCTGTGGGAAGAGTATGAGCCTATATGGGGAGTTCTTCTTGAAGTTTGATATTTAAGCATCCATGTGATCGGAGGAATCCTCACATCGCAGGGCCGCCATCATATCTATATGACGTAAGAGCTGTGAAAAAGATCTCGTTCTCAATAAACTGCCCTCTTAGGAGGATGAAACCTGGGTTGGTTGACAAATAGCTGATCATCTGCCAGGGGCCTTGCCGAAATCTCATACACGCAAATGCTAAGCGAGTGGAGGTTTTTTACATGTGTTCACGAAATATGATGCCCACGCTGATCACGCACTTCATGGAGCAATGCAGATTACTTGAGACATATAACGGCTCTGTCCGATGCTTACAGTATCGCAAATCAGAGCTTTGACCATCCACTAAGTTGAAACTACGGACTAGGCCATTATTCATGTTCATTTACTGTTCTGAGCAGTACAGGCAAAAGAAGCATAATTCCGTTACCTGCTTCAGCAGCTGATATACAGTTAATAGTTCGGAGCACCAGGGACGGTGAACAACCGTCGTTTCAGTGCTTCTACCGGCCTGCTTTCTCAGCCTATCGGCCTTGCCTTTACCTTCCGGATTGCTGCGGGGCTTCACCTAGCCGGCCAGAGTTTTGCCCCACGTCCGGGTTCAGGGCCGCGCCGCCCGTATCAGTTGTACCTTGGGCGTATGTTTACTAGTACCGACGATCACAAGACGGTTCACAGGTAGCGTCAGTGCTTTGTGGAGCCTTTAGCCTTGAGGGATGGTGAGTGGAGACATGGATTGGGGGCGGATTCTGGACTCCGACAGAACTCCTGACTCGATCAAGGAAAGAAAAGCTGCCCTCAAAGCGGATCCATCCTAGCCTTCCGTGCTCCCCGTTCAAATCATACTGCAGAAATGAAGCCGAGGTACGCTAACAAGATTAAGATATCCAGATGATATTCCTTTACAAGGTATAGTAAGTCGAGTCACTGGATACAGGAGCTTCGTCCTACCCATGCTAGACTCAGAAACACCTTCATGATCAGCAAGAGATGAAGATAGACATGGCCTCATCGCCTCCTACATAAGAAACGATACTGTAGCAGGTTATGACTCTGCGAATGAATCTCTCGGCCCTCGCCTTGAACTAAGAAGGGTCATTCCCGGGCCATAGGGAATTAAAATTCTAGGTATAGAAGGCCTCTATAGCAACGGGCGGGAACATATACGATGGGCTAATGATACATCTGCTATGCCCATCACCTGAACTGCTGAGCTATAGGAGCAAGGCAGATACTTCGAATACTGGAAATTTGCATCCACACGCGACCGAAGCAGTCTCTGACGGAGAGGTAGAAGCGGTACTCAAACTACGTTGACCGTAAGATTATCGCAGATTATGTTTGGGAACCAAGTAGTCAGGTCATGAAGCCATATGTGCGAGCGAAGAAGCGTGTTAATCTCTAGGCAGAGGAAGAATAGGCCGACTGTACGGTGAATCGGCGAGGCGTACAAGTTGAAGACGAGTTCACTTCTGGGTTTGATCGTCTGGGTATGCCAGAAGCAAGCTCTTTGGAAAATTGGTCAGTGAGATTAATACTGTGATTAACTTGAAGGTAGGTAGTCAGTCTAGCCTAGCCAACCATGCCTGTGAGTAAATCATCGGTTAATCACCTTCTTAGGATCGGATGAAGATCCTGCGCCCCTCGTGACTATTTAAGTATGCGATCACCTTATATATTTGCTTCTTGTGGCCAGACGGCATTTTTCCCCACCTATCAGCTCCTCACTTCTCCTTTCTCTGTATTATGAACCCTACAAATTGGGATGCACCTTCTATGTCGCGGGTCATACAAAGCCCGTTACACGGAAAACCAAGATCCGGTGTAACTTACCACGGCGCTCTTCCTGATCTAATAGAACAATGGAAAGCCCCAATTCCCACCCATTACTTGCAAAGCCATGGTACCCCGGGCCAAGCTTTTAATACACAGAAGCGGCACCAAGCTCCACGCTCGAGGCCTGGATCATGGACACCGGGAGAAATCAAGAAACTCATCAATCTTCGAAGCAATGGCTGCACATGGACGGACATAAGTGAGGAGCTTCCTGGAAGATCACATCTTGCCTGTCGCCTTCGGTGGCAAAAGCACCAGAGGATGGATAGGCTGGACAAAGTAGCGAGATTTGATGACAGGTATTTGGTCCACAGTCAACCGGAATTCCCCATCACTCACTATAGCATGGATAGCAGGTACATGTCTGACAGGTGGCTGATGGCTCCTAAGCAGTATATTCCTTCACAACAAGCAACTGAAAGCATTCAGTGGAGGGAGACGAGACAAGAAATCCCTGGACGAGCTACAGGCATCAGCTGTACCAATACTGCCGCTGAAATGAACGTCATTGGTTCCACTAGACCACAGATCATCCCAACGCATACAACCTCTCTCCCAGGGATTGCTGGAAGTCGTGAGCCGCCAATAAAACAAAACACAAGATTGCCACCAATCCGCACAATCTTCGGTGATCTTCTTAATGCTCGGGGTTTTAGCCAGGGACAGTCTTGACTTATCAAGTGGGAAAAAAAAGCGGCTTTCATCCAACAGGAAATGTTGTTAGCAACGTTAGGCTTGCGAGGTGTCACGGTGGATGTGGAATAGAAGGCAAGTACCGTCGCCTAGGGGCCAATGGCGAATCTCTTAGCTAACATCTACTATGTCCTGCCTAGAGCCCGAGTGGACAAGCTACCTGGTGTTAAGTTATTTGTAGAGACGGCGTTTGATTTATTTAATATACTTAGTTTACAGGGCTCTAGCTTAAGGTCCTACAAAGCCACTCAATCAACGTGTCATTAATTGACACGTTTTCATATGCTTCTCCTCTGTGCTTTCTTTTGCCATAAGTCATCATACCCCGAGGGACTAAACTGCCGATGGGTTGAAAATTGTTCGAGGAGGTTGTGTACGGATTGATTCTTATGCAGTATTAGCAAAAGGGATCGAAGTGGAAATGAAACGCTTAGCTTACCAATCCCACGTCTTCAGCGTCCTCAGATACGAAGTTGATTAACGTGTTGACCAATTCATGATTCCCAAGTAGATCATCGATCCACCCATCAACATTTCTCCAGTCCCAATGTCTTGTAGGTCCCCTCAGATGTGTGTGTCTCTTTAGTATAAGGGCAATTTTGGACTCAATAGCATAGCATGACCGATCAAATCCTCTTCTTTCGAGCAAACCACGGACAGATTTAGGCCGAACACCTCGAGACGTGAAGTAGACAGCGATTATTATCTCCTCGTTTGACCATGGGTTGCCTGGAGCCATAGTGAGAAAATTTAAATGAGTCTAATTTTGGGCCACAAAGAACAGACAAATATTCTCCTGCTACAGGGATACAGGCTTAGCTTTATCGCGATGTGAAGGCTGTCTTAATACACTGACAAATATGCAGGCCGCACGGTGCCGGTAGACTTTCAAAAAAGGTCTGAGTTGGGGTTTGGAAGTTGCCTATCTTAAGGCTATTTTATGGTCAGAGGAGGGATTGGGACAACACCTGGCACAAAACAAGTAACTGAGGCCCAGTGCCATCACTATTGTCAGGATAGGCGACTTGTGTGTATATTATAATTCACGCCTCTGTCTCTATTGGTGATTTGACATAGAAAGCCTGTGTATGCCCCCTGAGCTTTTCTTGTGAAAGATCTGCTCTGGCTTGTCTACTTGCATTGCCCTTTCCGGCCCGGGCGCCAGTTTGAGCGCAGAAGATTTATGAAGCAAGCCGCATCAAGGCCAGGCCCGCAGTATTGTGACGTCGTCTGTGTTATGCCGCCATATAGTATAGTAAACATGTACCGTTCAATAGTCAAATCGTAGAATTCGACTCCACGTGGCAACATACTGAATTATACTCAAGCATTTTTCTGTTGCCCTTCGGCTTGCTCAATATGTTATCTGCGCTAAAGCCTTGGTGACGCACTAGGAAATAGTTACTCCCCGTGTAACGGCCAAGTCGATTTCGACAATGGTTGTACTCGCCGGTAGTCGACGCGCTCAGCAGTGTGTCATCCTTACTGCGAGGCTCTGGAGCAGGAAGGAAGGGTAAGCCAGATGATGCATCGCGTGTCAAGACGATGGACGCTGTCTTGGATTTCGAGAGATATCATAACGGTTTCGAAGTCACGCGCAATACGAGCAGCGAGCACCAATGGCAACTAAGCCACGACAAGCCTCGGCAAGGCTCCAAATTCGTTTACGAAGTAGTACACCCTAAATGTAAATATATGCATGGATGTGTATAATTGCTGTAGGCTACAAATCGCTTTGCGAGGGGTTCGGGTTAATGGACTGACTGTATTACTACGACTGCAAGGTGAGCAGCGAGTGACTGGCTATTCTGGTCATCTCCGATACTAGGTCTAAATTTCAAAAGGACTTTGTAAATAGTCTAACATAAAATCTCGAAGATAGATCTTAGCTTCCCCAGAACAATCGTGGTCTGCGTACTAGTCTCCAGCACCACGAAGAGGTGTCTATCTTTTCGCCAGAGGGAGCAAACGCTTTAAGGCCACGCGGAGGCACTACAATACCGGACTTTCTCAAGGTCGGGTAGGGGAGCGAACGCTATCAGGCCACGCGGGGGCACTACAATACAAGGCTTTCTCAAGGCCAGGTAGGGGAGCGAACGCTATCAGGCCACGCGGGGGCACTACAATACCGGACTTTCTCAAGGTCGGGTAGGGGAGCGAACGCTATTAGGCCACGCGGGGGCACTACAATACAAGGCTTTCTCAAGGCCAGGTAGGGGAGCGAACGCTATCAGGCCACGCGGGGGCACTACAATACCGGACTTTCTCAAGGTCGGGTAGGGGAGCGAACGCTATCAGGCCAC